TTATCTACCCACGTTATTTTGAGGACGCAACAATAACAGGTTTGTGTTGTGTTTTTACTGTTAATTACCAGACACGAAAGACCTGTCCCTTGGCAACTTGATGACCAATGCAAACTTTGCAAACCAATGAGTGTACGCAAATCCTCCCATGGGGCATGGCCTCACCTCCTCTCGTCCTCCACCAACAGTAAAAGTGCCAGCGGGTTTCCCAGCGCCGCGAGTCGGGGGTCGCTTATCAAACGTCTTGTTCTTCTGGGGTGCGGCGCGGCGGTTCGCGCCCGCCACCACCTCAGGCTTGGGGAAGGGCTGCGGCACCTCTCGCTTGCGCCCATGCCGGAGCCTCCCTCCACCACCAGCTTTAGCATCTGGTGCAATGCGCACCGTGACACGCACGGGGTCAGGAGAGCAAGCATGTCAATAAGTCAACGTCACAGGCCAGAGTTGTAACAATAAGCACAAAATTTATAAAAATAACACTCAAATAAAAATTCAAGAAATTGGCTTTTTTCCCCTTAATGATTAATCAGGTCCCTTTAAAAATGGTGGACACCACCGCATTCGGTATCACCAAGGCCGGACACCCTCTAGAGCATGATACAAAAAACGATTCTCGTCAACCCGCACCTTCCGATACATCGGGACAAACCCAGCGCCGCCTATTCGCCTAAAACCACGCCACCCCTTTTCTGGATCGCAGCAGCAGCAGTAGCACACTCCACGCCACAAATACAAATGAAGGCGAGACGTGAAAGCAAGTCTGGACTGTGGCCGACGTCAAAAATCAACATCTCGTACAGGACCCTACCGTCGAACCTCCCCGGTTTCAACCTTCCACGCTGCCAATGGTCGACCATCAACCGAATCAAGACCAGCCATGTGGTCCTCGAAAACAGGACTTTGTAAAGTGCGTCCATGGTCTTCATACACAATGGTGACACAAATTAATGCAGTTAAAAGGGCATTCTGCTCTCCAATCAGAGGACAAAGTACAAAGGGCTTTGTCGACGGAGTACATAAGGGGCCAGAATTAAGTCTCTACTTGTCCGAGACACTCCGGACAGGGGAAGACACACAAAGCAACACCATGGCACGCATTGTTTGCCAATAACATTGTGGTATGCAGGGAGGACATGGAGAAAGACCTTAAATGATGCCTGGAAACAACGCATGGTATGAGGATATACATAAAATGTGACAACTAAATTCAGACAGGAGGACAAAGATAGTGTGTGGGGTGTGTAATGGGCACTCAGCTGAAATGCACACCTGTGACGCAGTGCTTTGGAAACCAGGGTTAGTGGACCAGACGGATAAACGTGGCCAAATTATAGTTGTACAGCAATAGGAATTCGTAACCATGAAGCCACTTATGCATATTAAATAGAGAAAACATCTACGCAAAACCCTCTTTCAAGATTGTTTTTTTCTGAATTGAGTATTCAATAATGTTTTTTTCACGTGTATTCTACATTCTTTAAGTTTATCTCGAGACGGGGGGGGGGGGGGGGTCGAAAAAAAAAAGGCTACCCTGTGTTTAAATGTTGACACATAGCGTAATCTTATTTAAGATTTTTTTTGAAGTCCTGGCTTTCAATAAATATGCTGTGTCATGAGGCCTCCTTTGCCAGTAGCAAAATATAATAATAGGGTTTTTACCCTTTTTTCTGGCAACAAAACTGAAACTTTTTTTACAAGGAATCATGTTTGCATTAACCACAATACCTGCAGTCAGAATGCAAAGAAAAAAACACACTGATAATGTATTCATTGTCCTTGAAATTGATTGGTCCACACCTTAGAGCCTAGTCTCACATGGTGTTCGACCAGAAGACGCCAAAAGGCGCACAACTCAAAGACAATGCACCATCAGAGTAATGAGGGCTCGGGGTATGCAATTACATAATGATGCCTCCTTTGCCAGTAGCAAAAGATAATAAGTTTCAGTTTTGTTGCCAGAAAAATGGGTAAAAAAAACTATTATTAAATATGCTGTGGTTGTTAAATACAATAAGTGGACTTGTTACACAATTACTGTACTGCACAGACCAACACAGCACACACCCCAATGGGCACATCGTCCACACACGAGGCCCTCTGCAATACGATACAGCCCAGGCACGCGGTGGGCAATCTGCGGGGTTCGTAGCCGCACGTGGTCGTCTCTTTAAAGACCGACCTGCATTGCGGCTCTAGAAATACCGCATGGGGTTTTTTGTTGTTGTACCAAATTTGAAAGAAAAAAAAAGGTCTCGTTATTTTGGTTGTCGACCCCTGCTTGGTATTGCCGTTTCGCCCAACCAGCCACCCACCACCTCCACCACTACCACTCATGCAGCCACGATTGCTCTTCCCGCACTGCTGCATTCCAGGTACAGTAGTGGACGTGCAGTTTCCACACGGGCTCGGCGTTGAGCTACGCAGCACTTAGCTCTGCCACTAAGCCCACAGCGCGCCCCACCTTTAACTGGGGCACCAATTCTCAAAGCAATTGAATGACTGAATACGTTATAACAAATTTCTAATTTAGAAAGAATTCCATGTGCACTGAGTAAAGGGCCATTGGCCGAAACGTCGCCTGTTTAGTTGTTTTAATGTCAGGCATGGAGTTGGGGGAGGGGGCCACCCCCAAGGGCCCGCGCTGCCCTCAGCCCCCCAACTTGCACCTCCACCCCCAATGCCATCCTGGTCATGCCCCCCCCCCCTCCACGCCATCCGGGTCCTGGCCCCCCACGCCATCCGGGTCATGCACATCCCAACACCATCCGGGTTCTGCCCCCCACTCCCGACACATCCACATCCGGGTACTGCCCCCACGTCATCCGGGTCCTGGCCCCCCACGCCATCCGGGTCCTGGCCCCCCACGCCATCGGGTCCTGCCCCCCCCAACGCCATCCGGGTCCTGCCCCCCCCAACGCCATCCGGGTCATGCCCCCCCCCCAACGCCATCCGGGTTCTGCCCCCCCCCCCAACGCCATCCAGGTTCTACCCCCCCCCCCCAACGCCATCCGGGTTCTGCCCCCCTCCCGACACATCCACATCCGGGTCACGCCCCCCCCCCACCACGCCATCCGGGTCATGCCCCACCCCCCCACCACGCCATCCGGGTCATGCCCCCCCCCCCCCCACCACGCCATCCGGGTCATGCCCCCCCACCCCCCCCAGACATCCTCTCACCGGGCTTCGCATCTCTAATGGCGTCGCGCGACGGCGTGGCCGGAGTCACGTGGCCCGCGCGCGCGCTCGCTCTCCGCTCCATCACGTGACTCCCGTCGGGGCTCTCCGTCATAAGCGGGGCCGCTCCGTCTCCCTGTCTTCTCGATCGCGACCATTATAGCGACCTCGACATGGCGACAACACAAGGAGAAAAAAATTAAAACCTGCGAGTAAACAATTTACAACGGCCAACGGATCCGCTTCGGGTTAAGCCGAACCGACGCAGGAGAATAAGCGGAGAGAAGGGGTCGCGAGACCCCCTGCTCCACTCTGCCTCTATCCCACCGCAGGCCACCGCGCATGCGCGAGACAGAAAGCCCGGATGCGCGCCGACTGCGCACGCGCAGGGCGGGGGTAGTGGCTCGTTTGCCGCGACCCGGATGTTGGGGCGCGTGCGCATGCGTGGGTGGGAGGGGTGTGCAAGTCCAAGCCCCGCCCACACTAAGCCCCGCCCCTCCTCACTTCCCCACACATGCATTGAACTTATTCTTAGGTGTTTTCGGTAAAGTCACGTAGGTAAAACATCTAAATTAATAAAAAAAAAATATCACGACGTTTCGGAGGCAACACATCGTGATCTTTATTTTATTATTTTTATAAATTTTGATGTTTTACCTACGTGACTTTACCGAAAACACCTAAGAATATGATTCCTTGCAGTCACGAAAGCTTCAAGTCTAGAATGCATTGAACTTGGACAGCTGTTGGAAAAAGAGCTTTATAGCTCATCGGATTCAACCAATATATAATAAAGATTATTATTATTTGGTGATGCTGCTTCGTTGGCAGTGGTGCACCAGCACAGTTAACAACAAACACAACTCAAAAGATTAATCAATAACGTGTGTTTGCCCTTCAAATAGAAATGCAACGTTTCGGGATTATGGCCCCTGGCAGCACATAGGAGGCCTTATACCTCTGGTAGTCTCTCGTGGGTTCGATCCCTAACCCTGACGCCTGCTGCTGTATATTTGGAGTCTGCGTGTCTCTCATCATCACGGTGGCTAGGAGATGTTAACTACCTCTCCTGGTATGCAGGAGGTCGTGGGGTGACCCCGAGCCTGGTAATATCTGCATTGTCTTTGCAACTTGATTGGTCTACACCAGAGACAGCTTTCTTTAGGACCGAGCCTCAACTAGTGTTAGACAAGAGAACGCCAAAACGCGAACAGCCAAAAGGCCCTAAAGAAGGCTGCCTCTGGTGTAGACCACCAATCAGTTTCAAAGTCAATGCATTTCAGACAATGCATTAACTAACAGAGCACGTTTTTGTTTTCATGTTCACCATAAATGTGTGGTTAATGCAGGCTTGATTCCTTGCAAAAGGTTTTCTGTTTGGTGTTTTAACATCTTAACACCTGATTTATTCTTAGGTTTTTTCGGTAAAGTCACGTAGGTAAAAAAATTTTTAATAAAAGTACCTACGTGACTTTACCGAAAAAACTTAAGAATATGAATACTTGCAGTCACGAAAGCTTCAAATCTAGAATTAAAACCTCCTGATTTACTCAGAAAGTGTAAACCCTACTCTTATACTTTGATACTGTATTCTTAGGCTTTTTCGGTAAAGTCACGTAGGTAAAACATTAAAATTAATAAAAGTAAAATAAAATAAACTTTGATACTGCCAAGAAAGGTCCCATGTTGTTGTTATTGGGGTGTTTACATTGAGGTCCCCATAGTGTTTACATTGTTGACGTGTGACGTCACACCCAGCCGGGCCCCGCCCCCTCTCGGTGGTCCCGCGCGCTGATTGGCCGCCGACCTTCAAACTGGAGGCGCGTGCCCAACGGTCACCGCGCGCGCGCTCCCCCAACCTCCACTCGCGGCGTGCACCCACTCACGGTCACCTGCACAGTAAATACTAACAACTACCACTAACTACTATCACTACTAATAACTACCACTTACAACTACTACACACACGGTCACCTGCACAGCAACCACTAACAACTACCACTAACAACTACCACTTACAACTACTACACACACGGTCACCTGCACAGTAACCACTAACAACTACCACTAACTACTATCACTAACTACTACCACTATCACTACCAACTACTAACAACTACTACACTCACGGTCACCTTGCACAGTAACCACTAACAACTACCACTAACTACTATTACTAACTACTACCACTAACTACTACCACTAACAACTACTACACACACGGTCACCTGCACAGTAACCACTAACAACTACCAATAGCTACTATTACTAACTACCACTACTAACTACCACGAACAACTACTACACACACGGTCACCTGCACAGTAACCACTAACAACTACCACTAACTACTATCACTACTACTACTAACAACTACACCTACTACACACACGGTCACCTGCACAGTAACCACTAACTACTACTACCACTACTAACTACTAACTACCACTACTACTAACACACGTTTCACCTGCTCCAGTACCTACACACACGTGTACACTGCCGTGTACACAACACACTTCAAGGGAAGCTCACTCACATCGCCATTCTCAGCCTCTCACAACCACGTGGAAGTGAAAGTGGTGAGACAGAGAGAGAACCACCTACAGAGATCATCTACGACTTCTCTACGACTGCTACTACTCATCACAAGGCGCGTATGCAAGTCGTGTACACGCAGAGATGTGTGTGTGCATAGCTAGCAACCCGTAAGGTTTACTCCGTATTCTTGCACAGGGAAATTGACTTTTCAGGTGCAGCCGTTTCAAGAAGGCAAAAAAACAACTTTACTTTGTCTATTTGTGTTTATCCCTTGTGATCAATAAGGTCTGAATTGGTATTGTAATAAGGTAGGGCACTGATAAGGGGTTGGCAGGTGTGTGAGTGAGTGTGTGGCGGTGGAGGTGAAATAAGAGTTGAGCTTTCTTATGTCGATTTCGTCTCAACGCGATTGTTAAGTCGGTGTGATTATTGTTATCGTTGTTGTTATACTGGTAGGAACCACCTGGTTCCAACAGCCCACAGGGGATTATTGTGTCCGTCCGTCCGTCGTGAAGGGAGGGGCTGGGTTGAGAGGGGCTGGGTGGGGAGGGGCTGGGTGTGGGGAGGGGGGTGGGGAGGGGCTGGGTGGGAGGGAGCTGGTAGGAACGTTGGGTTTCTCGGTCAATGACCTGCAGGGTCAACGGCGGCGTGGTGTATTCCGCAAATATGCCCGACTGTGAAGACGGACACAAGCCGGCGTGAGTAGGTTAAACGTTGAGTTTTATAAGGGCACCACGGGGTGACCAGCCCCTCCCCACCCAGCTCCACCCCTCCCACCCCCCACCCAGCCCCTCCCTCCCCACCCAGCCCCTCCCTCCCCACCCAGCCCCTCCCTCCCCACCCAGCCCCTCCCCACCCAGCCTGACCCCTCCCACCCCCCACCCAGCCCCTCCCACCCTACCCACCCAGCCCCTCCTCACCCACTCAGCCCCTCCCCACCCTCCCCTCCCCACCCAGCCCCTCCCCTCCCAGCCCCTCTCCACCCTCCCCACCCAGTCCCGCCCCTCCCCACCCAGCCCCTCCCCACCCAGCCCTCCCTGCACGACGGACACAATAATCCCCTGTGGGCTGGTGTAACCAGGAGGTTCCTACCAGTATCATTTGTGATAGCCAGATCGCATCTGAAAAATAATAAAATCTGTAGCTCAGTGGAGCCTTACCTGGTAAAATATTTTTTTAAAATCTTTTGTGCGATTTGCACTCGCATCGTGTGTCTTGTATTGTTTGTTGGAAGGTTCTGACCCGCACCTATTGGACGTTAGTGAATAAGAGCTTTGCAGCTCATGGGATTCCTCCAGGATGAATAAATATTCCGATTCCAATTATTCTGTCCTAATCAGAGGCGTGTGCGCCGACTCGCTATATCGTCCGAGCGCAACACAAACTCCCGAATAAACAATACACACACATACTCTTACGTCCAGCATTTGACTTTAATTAACCACCCATAACCATATCACCCGCAAATCTACGTGCAATACGTCGTTTTCTTTTTACTTCTTTCGGCACCGTGCGTGCGTAGCCAACCGTGCTAATCACAGGTGCCCGGGGGGGATACAAAAATCAATCAAATAATGTCACCAAATCTGGGAAGCTGAAGGCATCGTTGAGTGTAGATGGCTGCTTGGATCGGCTTCCACCATGCATGCCCGGTTGTCACAGAGCTGCTACGCAGCTGGCTATTTAGGGGCCATCCTTTTAGTACGTACGCACGGAGGGGGGAGAGGGGGTTAACCCAAATGCGCTTGCGTTCAGGTTTCATTTTCATTTATTTGGTGTAGCCCTGTGAGCCATTCGGCTCTTGAATCGGGTGCAACCGCAACAAACAAAAAACATGAACAAGAAAACAACTTAAAGTGACTGTGCAAACAGAAACATCCAGGAAATAACTGCAAAGTGTTCCAGAAAAAAAGCACCGTACACCAACGCTGTGTGCAAAAATCCCAGTGGGATGCAAATCAAACAACAACAACCACAAGACAACTTAGATGAAAGTGTTTGGGGGGGTCTACTGACAATGTACGCATAGGAAATGGGGGGGGGGGGGGTGAAGCCTCGACAAAAATTTGTCTACTTTGGCCTTCAAATGAGTTAGATAGTCTGGCGGTGGACTATCTGTTTGCTTAAACACGTTAATATTATGAATTTCTTGCGTGGATTAAATATCGTCCATTCTATAGGATTCGGGGGGGGGGGGGGTGCGTCAAGCGAACGTACGCAGGTGGTGGTGGGGGGGTAAAAAGTCCGCATGCGTACAGGGAGGGGGGTAGGGGTCAAGTTTTGACAGATTTTTTCGTGCCTACTCAATGGATGGCCCCTTAAGGGGCAGCAGAGAGAGCAGTTGCAGCATTGTACCGGGGCTGCAAGTCGCGTGTGGTGGGGTAAACGGCGGGCGCTCCCACCTCTTGCAAGACATCTGGCCAGCGTGGAAGATTAGACCAAACACCCCCTACAGTGGGGCTGTTCAGAACTCCTCCTAGCGGCAGCCGTACTACCGGCAGTGGCACGAGCAAATTGCAGGACCGCACGTTTACCCTTCCTATAACCCTCTGCTCCGTCCCCACAGCATGGAGTGCATGGATGAGTTTGACCCCGAGGTGCCGCTGCGCGTCACCTACTGCCACACGCTGAGCCAGGAGGAGTTTGAGGAGCAGGCCTCGGCGCACACGAGCGCCGCGCTCGCCGAGCTGAGCCGCACGCTGGCGCAGCAACCGCAGCTGCACGCCCGCACGCTCAGGCGCCGGCGGCAGGAGCAGGCCGAGGAGGCGGGCGTCTTTTCGTTCATCAAGGTGGTGGCACGGCCCGGACGGAGTACATTCACCCGCTCGTGGCGGAGGGTCGAGTACACCGCGGTTCTAATTCCAGCGGACGGCCCTGGTCGTTACTGCGGTAGCGTTAACCATGAAGACGCTGCGCCCCGTCCGCTTTCCTCACAGTGGACGTTAGAGAATCCGTGACGCCATTCGGAAGAGTCGGCCATTGAGTGCCGGCGTCACTGTCCACGTTTGCCAGAGTTGAAAAATGACCCTGCAAATTACAAAATGTGGGATTACGCGTAACAATCATCGCAACATACTGCAAAACCTTGATATTTTAAAGCCACGCAGTGTTCTTTATGAACGTGTTGAGTTTTTATATTATTTGTGCTTTTGCACCACTGCCAATGCAGTATCAACATAACTTGTGTTGGACAAAAATCACTTGAAGAGGGATCGCAGAGTTAGCTCTGTGATCTGTAATATCTACTTCTGTGAGCCACTTTCTAACACGGAGGGCAGCACTGCTCTGAATGGAATCTTTGTTTTCATGATGCGCCATCAACAGCAAAATAATGGGGGAATGTGGTGCAACAACAAAAAAAAACTAATTATTTCATGAATTTAAACACCAGACGAAGGTAATATTTTCTTTATCTTAAATGGTGTGCGGGCAACCCTTTGCAAATTATCGTATCCTTTAACCCCGTGCGACCAAATCATCGGGGATTTAAAAAAATGGGGGAATATGTACAGCGTTAACCTTTGTGCTTGCTTTTTGAATCTTTAAATTCTCAGGCCAAGTTCTACTTGCTGGTTCAAGGGGAGAACAACGAATGCAGTACCGTGGGCGACGAGGAGCTGCAGAGGGAGATTGAGGCCCTTCGCGAGAAGATGAACCGAGCCTTCGAGCACGCGGAAGGTGGGCCCTCGCGCGCAGTGGGCATGTCAGTCCACTGCTGGGGGGTTATTTGACCATACCTCACCACGCTTCGGTTGATGAAGGTGGGCAGAATATGCACTGGAACGTACAAGTGCAGTACAACAATGTTTTCTTGTTGGCTGCTGTACTGTTCACTAAGCAGGCCCAGCAGCAACCTATAACGTAAGTTTCACGCACGGTGGTCGCTCCATCCATGCGCTGTCCAGGTTTATGGCCTGCTTATCTTCTGAGATCGGTCGAGGTCGGGCGCAATCCGGGTAATGTGGTCATAGGCGGGATGGAGACTCTAAGATGCTGATAAATGTGACAAAAGCAGTGGCGAGTACGTAGAGTATGTAGAGTAAGTAAAGTATGCATCGACATTATTGGGCTGCTATGAATTTCCCCACGGTACGCCACTTCATTGAGCTATAAATCGTGGCCAGGTCACTTCTTTACAGCGCAGTGGGCCTTACTTGGTAAAATAAAAAAGTTTAGTCACTGCTGGCCGTGTTTACTGCCAGCATCACAACCTTTGTGGCTATGTGCCTGCGTCAATTGACTTGCAATCAGAAAGTTGCCACTTTACATCCTGGTAGGAGATTGCAAACAGCGGTAGCAGCAGCATCCTTCTGTGTTCGATGAAATACAGTCACTTCTCAAGTATCCAGGGTAATGGGAGGGAGGGAAGTAGTGGGGTCCTGTATGAAACAAATAGAAGGCTGAGGCTATAAAACCGCGTTTCTTGTCTACCTACGTGCAATGGCAGTGAAGACGTAGAATGTGTCTTCTGTCTTCGTTATTTTCTTAAAGTAAAGAGTTCACTTGGCGATGTGTGTGCGGTCACACGAGCGCCGAGCCACTGAACCCCACCGAGTGAGGAGCTACTCGTAGAACTAGTGTGTCCGTGAGAGGTGAGAACGAGCTTGGTTAATCCACAATGTCATTGAACTGCCCAAGACAATCGAGGAGTTATCTGTGAGTAGGAGCAGTGTTTGTGAAACGTGTCTGTCCTTTTAACTAGCATCGAACGTATTTTGCATCAGCTCTGTCTTTCCATCAGGGAGCACGATAACTCGTACGCATGATTAATATGAACCAAAATTGAGTATAACGTATTGCTATGAGGAACTTTCCCGATAGCAACCGACCAAATGCATTAAAGTTTATAATAAAAGGGGACGTTTCGGGCGATGGACATTCTGTGCTGTGAAGGGCCATTGCCTGGAACGTCACCTCTTATATACTTTTTAAGATAAGTGTTACTGACGAACGTGTCCATTTTTGTTCTTGTGCACCACTGCTAGTCCAACAGCATCACCAGGACATTTGTCTAAATATGACCAAAAGGTTTGCCCACTGCCAGCGCCCGACAGCGCATCACATTTGGCATTCCTCTCTCCGTGCCCTTTGGCAGAGGCCAAGGACGGCAGACGAAGATTCTCCAAGCGGCTCGCAGAAAAGAAGCAGACGAACTGCATGCCCCCTCCCCCCACAGCCCTTCCCCCCACAGCCCCTCCCCCCACAGCCCTTCCCCCCACAGCCCTTCCCCCCTTAGCCCCTCCCCCCACAGCCCCTCCCCCACCGCCTCCAGCCCCTCCCCTGCCCAAGGCTCAAGTACCTCTGAGGGAGAGGACCAATCCCATGGCGGTAAGACCACTCAGTCCACTGTGTCCACTGTCTATACACAATAATAATAGATTGCAGTACTTTATCATTTAACTTTTTTGATGGTCTCTCCCACACCGTGTTGATTGTGGGGGCTGGTGACGACTTAACCACAATATTCAATGCGGGTTGGTGAAGCGGCAGCGCTAAAACCAGTTCAAATATCACCCACCGCTGGTGGCCTGAAATCGAACACGGTTTGCCGGTTTCATAGCGGAGTGCGCTAACCACTATGCCACCACTCCACACGCTATCTTTATTAAATGCACACCATTTACCTTAATTTCCAGTAAGACAGCGAGTCTGCCAATTGGTGTCTGGTGAAATCCAAGTACCAGACATGTGTAATAAAGGACTCTTTCTCAGTGTCGATCTCCGTTGTCCTTTATTTGGGTTCGTATAAATCTCGCTCACACGGCGTCCTCGCTCAGGCCCGCGTCTCCTCCGACGATCACTCCACAGCCACCCTGCTGCTCCGTTCTGCAGCCTCACTGCTGCACCGCCCTGCAGCCACACTGCTGCTCCGTTCTGCAGCCACACTGCTGCTCCATTCTGCAGCCTCACTGCTGCTCCGCCCTGCAGCCACACTGCTGCTCCGCTCTGCAGCCACACTGCTGCTCCGCTCTGCAGCCTCACTGCTGCTCCGCGCTGCAGCCACACTGCTGCTCCGCTCTGCAGCCACCTTGCTGCTCTGCTCTGCAGCCACACTGCTGCTCCGCTCTGCAGCTAGCCTTCCACAGCCCGCTAGCCCTCTGCGTCCTGACACCGATGGCCGACGGTGCCGACGTCTCCCAACACGTGGCGATCGCGCCACCCTCCCCGTACTGCCCAGCGTGGCCTCCTCCCGTTTCACTCCGTTTCAACTCCCCGATCCCCTTCCGGTTCTCCCCCTAAATCCTCTCCCCCACGTGACCTTAACTCCTCCCTCTGCTCACGTGACCCAGACTCCGCCCCTCTCAATCCTTGCTCGCATTACACATGTATAAGTAACTTCATGAATCGTCTAAAATATATTCTTGCGCTCGTGATGCGTGCCGTAAAATTGTGTGGGTAAGAAGAAATAATCTAAGAATTTAGAAAAGTATGCGTTGGTTCGCAGGAAATTTGGAAAGTCACAACACAGTAATGCGTTGTGGATGTAATTATGAAGAGGAGGTTGCGATTGGTGGGGCAACCTGTGCAGGGTGGAGGAGGGCAGGTTACTGCCGAGACTGGCAATGGAGTGGCATCCAGAGGCGTTGGGGTGGCAATGAGCAAGGCGAAGACCGGAGCCTGTAAAAGAGTGGTCCTTGTAGGTCAGGTGTTGATTGTGCAAACAGCTGCAAGATCTGGTTGAGGAAGGAAGCTCTGGAGAGATGTTGTGGCATTGGCCGTGATTGTCCTCTTGACCTTGTGAGTCGTGACATTGTGTATTAAATCGTGACATTGGTGTGTGTGCTTTCCTGCCTTTGCAGAATGCAGTTGCTCAGACCCCAGAGCTGCTGAAGAGCTACGGTCTGACGAGCCTCAACAAAAAACGGTAGATGCTTAATTTTAAACGCATTTAAACTAATGTCGAAAGTGATTAATTAAGTCATACTCCGGCGAGTGAGGAGCAGCTAATAGTGCATGATGAAAGATGTTTGATTATTTTTTAAACAAACGCGGTTAATCTGCGACCCGGATAATCAGTCGACGATCAAGCTTTAATGGTATTGCTTTTCCCTCTAGCGGCAGCAGTCGGGATGTTGCCGTGGTGTTATAATTAGCACAATAGGACTTGGAATCCAGAGGTCGCCAGTTCAATTCCATATCCCGACGGAGAGCGTCAGTTGAAACAAGGGTGCAAGTTTGTTAAATCTTCGCCCCGCGCCTCCGTCCGACCAGCAGTAACAATTGGGTATGCCAAAGTAGATTGGCAGGTCACGTGTGGAGAGGTTAAGTGTGGGTACTGACACCTCTGGGCCAGTGCAGAAAAGCAGACCAGAAACCTTCTCTCTGGGCTCTCTCTCGGGCTACCTCGAGGCGGGAGACCCTTCCGCCGGCAGTAGTGCGAGCTAGTAATCGTACGGGGGCCGCACCTTTATCTTTCACTTGTTGTTTTCGGCAGCAGTGTAGGGGACGCAAAGACGTTGTGCAACGCCGGTGAAAGTCTGGCTGTGTGCGCCGCTTCAAACTGGCAAGACGAACTGGTGTCGTCTTTAAAGAGCAAGAGGCTGAAGACAACCGGTGCGGTCAGGTGAGTAATCGTAACAATAATAACAATAATTTACTATTTATCTAGGAAAGTCACACTAGAGCTGGGCTGCAATCAAATTGTTCAAGTAATAGATTACTCTACCCGTTAGCAGTGTTATCGCCCGACTAATAGGACAACACAAGCATTTGGGAAATATAAAAACTGTTGCCTCTGTTCCCACGTGCGCTGCTGGACGAGAGGTGGTGGGCAGAGCGTGGCGAAGTCATCGGCATCATCATCATCAGCCTTGTTGCGTTGGGCTTGGCTTGTTGGGGGTTCCCTGACTTCAGGAGCCAGGATGTGGGAGTTTCCACCATTTTTAAAGGGGCCCAAATAATCCAGCACAAGATATAATTTTGACTTAATAAACTTAACAGGCTAATCGTCCCAGATCTACATGAAACTTAACTTTTTTGCTAAGCGAGTAATATGGGATTCCACTGTTGGCTGAATCCCACCAATGGAGATGAACAGTTCCTAGCACATGTGTGTGCAGGGGCACATGCGCCCATCAACGCTGACTGAAATCCCCCTTTTCTTTGGAATTTTTCCCCCCAGGTCTCCCGGTGGCACCCCGGCGGATGCGGCGGTGAAGGGGAGAGACTCCATTCACAATAATATGTCTCCTGCCTCCACGATGAAGGCTGCGCTGATTACCAAGTTCCAAAACGTGTCGTCTCCTGCCAGCTCTGATCGGTCCTGGTACAGTCTCAACGGCAGCTTCCTGTGAGCCAACACCGCACCGGGCAGCGTCAGGGCTTGGGGCCTCGGGCTGCCGCATATTTTTACGCTGTGATTTGCGTTGAACGGCGTGGATATTGCAAAACTAAAAGAGTGCAGCATCCTCTCGTGTGTTCTATGGGATGTGGCTCCAATCAACTCCGTGTTCTTGATTTTACTGTAATGCTGCGCATATTCTTAAAGATGAATTGAACATCTGGATGTATTTTTTTTATTCTTTATATTTTTTTTGTAACTGTTAAATTCTGCCATTACTCTGTGTGTCTTTGTTACATAAATGTCGTTTATAACCGGGGCAAGAAGCCAAAACAGTTAAGTGAGTGAGGAGAGGTAGCCGGGATAAAATAAAAAAACTGGAGCATGCAAAACGTACGTTAACTTGGCTATAAAGAGGTTTACTTGCCGATTCGTTCGCAGTTACGTGGGCACTGGGTCAATTACCCTCAACAAGTCAGGAGCAGCTAACAATAGAGTCGGTGCATGACAAAGGCGAGGATGAATATGGTTATTGCACAACCCAGATAACCCTCCCATGGATTCTTTTTCTTGGGAGACTTGGGTTTGCAGAGGTAATGGAACCAAAAAAAACATCCGAAATTATCACAGTGCGACCTTCCTAACATATCACACGAAACAATGCAGTCAATGCAAAAACTCTATTTCAAAAGTTACATTTAGAAACCACTAAGTAAATACAAACGCTTATAAATTGTAAGAATACCCAAATTAAATGTATTCAAAGTATATTTGTTTTTTTGTAACACTATGAACTGGGCAACCTGAGATTGATTCCCACTCATGGCCAACACCAGTGGCGAATATCTAAACCGGGTCTAGCCCTCCTCTAGATCGACTCAGCATAAAATGAGTACCTGGTGCTATGTCTAAACATCGCTACTAGGTAGACAAAGGCGTGGTGCTGGTCCACCAACCCCCTCGTATGCCGTGCTAGCCCTCATAGGTTCTGCTACTCGCTAATACCACTTGACCCAACAGTCTGTTAAGGCTATACGGGGTATCTTTGTCTTGCTGTGCTTATGTGTTATTCGAAAGCCTTTTTAGGGGGGGTGCAGGCTGCTGCATGGATCCCGTGCAGGAGTATTTTCTTAATGCCTGCACCACATGGTCACGGCAAATCAAAGACACCAACGTGAAAGAAATGCCTTGCCAACACTCATGTTGATGCGTTGACATGTGGCCCCTCTGTATTGTGACCTTGGAAACTCGGGGGGAAGGAGGGTGGGTGCTGGGTGCTGGGTTCCAGGTGTCGGGACCAATGGTCCTGATTTGAGTGGGCCATCATACCAAAAAGGTTGAGAACCATTGCTTTTTAACATTTGTTTGAAATCACAGTAAAGTCCATAAAGTGTGTCTGGATGCAAGGTTTGGTAGTAAAGTTTTTTTTAATCTTTTTATATTACACTGCTATATATATGTTTAACCGAGTGCTTCAACTGGCCAGATGGCACTGTGTGGTTCGTGTCCGATACACGATGGTGAAGTTGCGAGTTCAGTGTTTCTCTCGGTCCATCATCATCAAAAAACGTATACCATTTTGTAGTTGTCCTTCGGAGGAGAGGCTGGACCCAGCAATAGGAATGTGGAATTTCCACCGCCGGCTGAAGGCTACCAGCAGATGTTATCACTGCCCTGTGCTCAACTTGCACATGGGTACACTATGTATTTTAACACACCCATGTTTACTAACCAGCTTCTGCTTAGTTACATCTCGAATGTGATTTGACATGGCCTCGCATTTTATGCATTGCGAGGGCGTAGTTTCCATATAATTAATTCTTACACTTTAAAATGTGTGTAGGAAATAACGCTGCTTTGTAGCCGTCTAATTATGCACGACGTATTGCAACTAGTGTAGCGTTTAGGCTATCAAACCGCGTGAGACAACGCAGCATTAATTTGTGTAGGAAAAAGTAAAAGCTTTTAGAGTCGAAGTGTGTGCGACTCTACATCGGCGGTTGGTGGTAATGTAAAATACCCTCGTTTCGTAGCTGTGGTTCCGTCACTGCATAACTCGGGGTATCTTCAGGCTCCTACAAATGAAAGCACATCTGTAACTTTAACCAAATGAGCCTGGTATCAGATGCTTTTTGTTTTTTTTGGAAGTTAAATGTGAAATGATCAGCTGGGGGTGGGGAACAAGACTGGATAACCAGACCAAAGTACCTTTTTGTATGAAGCTTGCCTGGGTCACATTCGATTTGTGGTCTTAGAACGGCTCGGTGTAACTGGAATATATAAACCCCGTGTCGCTACGGACACAATCCTGCGAGTGTACCTAGTCTGTCACAGGCTATATATTGCCGTGGCTGTTGGTGTGTATTGTGTGCTCTTTCTGAGAGCCACGTGATTATTTTAGGGTGTACACTCCGGTGGTGACGGTGTCTTCGCGCGTTATATTTTTACATTGTCCATTTTGGCATTTTAAGCAGCAACGAATAACACGTGGAGAGAGTTAAGAGTGTATATTGAACTTCTTTGGCACCGTGCTAATCGGAGGTGCAAGGTGAATTACTTTGTGGACAGATTGTGCTTTCCCACCATAGAAATGTTGAGATTTTCACCACTGCCTCAGGACTATCAATTTACACAAAACACTACCTCTGTACTCCTTTGAACTGGGAGACACTTGAAAATTTTACATTCACAAGGCCAAATGCACAAGGCATGAGTTTGTGAACATTTTTTGCATGTGGCCAGTGTCATTATTTAGACCAGGGAACCCCATGCAGCCAAAGCACGTCGCATTCATCGCCATCACCTTCAACAGACTTAATGCAGTGTTGGCCTCGATGTAACATTAGCGGATATACCGTGTCCTGCATTTAACGGGTTTTTTTTGGGGTACCACCAAAAACAGAAAAAAATTGAAATCTAAAAATCTCACTCCTGAACCTCATCAAATTAACAGAATCCTCCACGCAGCAGTAAATTGGCCAACTTTTGGTCTTCATAGAAATAACGGGATGGCTAAGAAATCAGGATATACCAGATCCACCACGCCCCTGAATTTCCCCGGTATTGAGGACACTTGGTGTGAAGAACACTATCTTCTTCCCACACTAAGGAGACTTCCGTAACACGAGTAGCACACCCACACGCACAAACATTATCTGGAAACTGGATTTAGAAAATGTGTAAAGTGGGTATGTAAAGCTCAACGTACATGCTTCGAATCACGTGTAAAATATAGTATTTCACACACGATTGAACATGCAATTCATTGAAAATTATGTGAATCCATGCATGCCTAGTGTTGATTCAGGTGCATCTTAAAATAATCACATTTACTTAAAAAACTGAAAGTTATGGTGCCCTACATACTATACATTCCATGCATCTGTTGTGTCGAAGTTTTAAAATGTCTGTCACGTGAAATTAAATCTTTAAAGGCTCCTTTCTTCTTGCGCGAGCTTCTTTCACCAAATGTTTAGCGTTTCACAGTGCGGTCCGGTATGATGTACTTTTCTCCCACGAGGGAAAAATAACTCATGTTGGCGTCGGCAAGAAGTGCGTGTGTAAGTCTTCCACGCTGGACAGATGTTGCAGATGTGGGAGCCCGCCCCACACTTTACCCCACCACACGTGACCAGCCAGTTGACTGGTGAACTCAATTATACGAGATTTGAAGTTTTCGTGACTGCAAGGATCCATACTCTTTGATTCTTTCGGTAAAGTCACGTAGGTAAAAAAATAATAAAAGTAAAAATAAATTTTTTTTTAAATTAAATCACGACGTTTCTGGCGCAACACAAGTGCTCCTCATCAGGTGGGACCACCACAGCTAGAAGCAACTGCTGGAATGGGTAAGAGAGCTGCAGTGAAACAAGACGCAGTGAAACAAGACGCTATATATAGCAATTTATACCGCTGGGCGGATATAGAGGGTTAACTGGCGTGAAAGCAGATGGCATCCACCTCTTGGATGCTCACAACCATTAACACTGCAACAGCTCCCTTCGTTTCTCAGCAAAGTAATAAGTGATTTTTATTGCTAGACATTTCTATGTGTGTGTGGCAAACCAGTAACCAGTTGTTTTTTTTACAAGTTAACCAAATGTTTTATTATCGGAGCATGTGTGTTTGCATGTTTTGCAACGAGTACGTGTGGTTAATGCAGATTTGATGCCTTGCAAAAGGTATCTATTTGGTGTTTGAACATCTTAACACCTCCTGTTTTATTGCCAGAAAGGGTAAAGCCTATTTCGATATTTTTCATCATTTTTATAGTGGCAAAAACGTCTCATAGATAACACATTCCTGCGGAGGGAGCTGGTAGGAACGTTGGGTTGCTCGGTCAATGGCCAGGGTCAACGGCGGCGTGGTGTATTCCGCAAATATACCCGACTGAGGGCGGGCACAAGCCGACGTGAGTAGGTTAAACGTTGAGTTTTATAAGGGCACCACGGGGTGACCAGCCCCTCCCCACCCAGCCCCACCCTCCCCACCCAGCCCCTCCCCACCCAGCCCCTCCCTCTCCACCCAGCCCCTCCCTGCACGACGGACGGAAACAATAATCCCCTATGGGCTGGTGTAACCAGGAGGTTCCTACCAGTATAACCAAATGTTTTCTTGATGCTGCTGCTTGAATTTGGCAGTGGTGCACAGGTAACATTCATAATAAACACTGCCTTAAAAGAAATATATACATGTTGTGCTATGAAGAGTAATTACCCGAAATGTCGTCTATTATATATATTTTTTATTTCAAGGTCACACTGCTCTTGACAAATGCATCAAAGTAATGCAAAACACGATCATAACAACCCCGCTCGGTACACACCGTTATAAACCATTCCCCTCATTGCTCGTACCGTCAATACAATTTCACAAGCGTCGCTTTCATTTAACAAAACATGTCTTAATACGACAAAGTGTATTTTCCTGTTTTAAATATAACAATGTTAACATACCCATTAGCGTGTACAGAATATGTGTGTACAGAAGCCCGCCTAAGAAGGCGAAGTACTTATTGAATTCCACACTGCTCCAAACATCAGGACTTGTTTTACCACTATAAAAACACAAGTCATGTGTAGGTATAAAACAAGTTAAAATGTTATTCAAGGCGTTTTAAAAGGTCTGCAGATATCTGCAAATTCACACCTTTTCCTGCAAAAACTCGGCAGAAAACCATTTTCCACCCTGTTTAACACATTGGTTTTCACGACCAGTATTATCCACAATAGAGGTTTTTGGGTTAGATCACCTAAATAAAAAGTGTCGTTAAATCCGCCACCCCCCCCCCCCCCCGACACGGCCAATTAGTAAGGTTTGTCAAGTAAACAGAATGTGCCACTTCGTCGTTGTGTTGAAGAGTAAACCGACAACATTTAAAATTCGAGGACGACGTTTCGCCAGTAATTACAAACAGCATCATCAGGCGGCATACCTTATATGAATCAGGCCGTCTATCTCAGTGATCATATTGTCATCTGGGTAAAAACATATATTAGCAAAACTGTCATACCGTCTCTCCACAGATAAATAAATATAAGTTACAGTCCATTAGTCTATTGGGTTTGCACACCGATATTTTGTAGTGACATTTGTTTTGGCAAGCAATTTCTGGTTTCAACCTTCTGGGTCTCATCGGCAGTCACGCTTATGAAACCAATTTTGGCGGATCACCAGATATTACTTGCAAAAGAACGCCATCGAAACTCAAAAAGCCACACCATACACAAACCATGACGCGTTACCACAATGTGCAAACCGCATACGGCGAACCCTCTCTATATCCGCGAGGGTTTACGTTCTTGAAAAACGCTCGCGAGTGCAGAAAACTTTTTGCTCCAAAAACAGGGTTACATTCCTGGTACGAGTGAACATAGGGGGGATGGTAAATGTTTAATAACAATGACTGCTATAAATAAAGAATAAATTAAGCGTAACTACAAATGTATTACCTCCAAATACACAGGCGCCAGGGTCGGGATCGAACCCACGACCTCCTGCATACCAGGCGAGGGAATTAACATCTCACCACCGCAGCTGCATCAACAACAAGCAGCAAAGTTGACGCTGGGACACCGAACGTGGCTGGGCATGGACTGCGCGCTCGTGCAGGATCTCGCGAGAGAACGCGATGGCGGGGCCGTGGTGACACCAGAATCATTGCCCATGCTGACCTCTTGACCAAATGCCTCTTAAGTTTATACCCGTGTACAGCTCGGCTCCGGCCCAGGTGGCTCAGTGGGAGCCCGGCAGCATGAGCGGCAGGACGTCCCCGCAGCGCGAGCTCACCTTCAGCTGCGCCAGGGCATCGGCGCGCGTCGGCCCAATGTTCAAGATGGCGATGGGAATCTTCTCTTCATAGGCGGCGCGGATGAACCTGTATCCGGAGTAAACCTGCAGCGGTAGCAGCAGCAGCACGGCCACCAGGCACGGGTCAGGGTGGCGATAAGAGCAGCGTGGTACCGGGAAGAGGGACGTCAATTTAAAAGGTAAAGATGTGACCCTGCAAATGCTAAGGCCACTGCTGGCAGAACTGCATCCACCAGGGCCAACTGTGGAGGGTATTTAGTCTCCACTTGTTGACCAGACGTCATGGAACAGGTGGGAGCACCCACACTTAATCCCACCGCACATGACCTGACAATCGATTAACTGTGGTTACCTCTGGGTGGACAGATGTGGGGGTCTTTTTAACTCTTTCCCATTCAGAGACGTCTGCAAGTTGCAGGGTGTGGGTGTCCCGTTCACTGCCGAATCTCGGAATGCGCAAGCGGTTCAGCGTTAATTTTATTTAGAGAAGTATAGCACCGCTGGTTTTTAAAGACATTGTACTCACTGCGGAGAGCTGTAGCAACACGACTGCACTAACTGGTGTCAAACCGTGCCATGCGCCCTCCCGCATTGGCCTTTTGCTTCCCATTTCTTTCCGATGACGTTGCACGTACGTCATCGGAACACGTACATCATCGGAACACGTACGTCATCGGAACACATACGTCATCGGAACATGTACGTCATCGGAATGGGAAAGGGTTAAAAAAAACCTGCCCCATTAATTTCGTCGAACATTACACAGCGGCAGCACGTGGTACGTGGACCGATCGCGAATGAATACGACCCTGCAGGGAGGAGACGAACTGACCTGCAGGGAGGAGCCGGCCACCAGCACGGTGTCCGACTCCCACAGCCTCTGGTAGACGTCGTCCACCGTCCTCCGATCTACGTTGTCCCCGAAGAAGGTGACCTCGGGCTTGAGGGGCCCACCACAGGAGCAGCACGGGGGCACACGGAAACTCTCCACCTGCGGGGCCAGAGCGGTGGCAACGCAGGTGCCAAACCCACGGTCGGTTTACCATCGAGTGGCATGGCCCATATTGCATAACTGGTCACGTGGAGCCCGGAGAGTGAAGAGACTGGAACAGCCATGTCGGGAAGATGCACGCAGTCTTTTCTCAAGGAGGATGGTGAATGCGTCGCACGCTTTCAGATGCGCTCATACGGCCGTCTGGAACGCTCTTCCTTCCGATATTTGGAAGCCACTGAAGCTGTGCGCCTTTAAATCACCTAGATTGACAGACTCATTTACTCAAAACTGCTTTTTGTGTTTAGTTTGTTGTCCTTTGCCCCTGCACCTCCGATTAGCACAGTTGACTACATATGGTGCGAAAGATGTTCAATATATACACACTCAAGGAAGAATCCTTTTGATATTTGTGCCGAAGGACAGGCGTCAGTAGTTTCATTTACTACAGTGCCTATAATTATAAAAGTATTACCGTATAACAAATGGCGGAAATTGGTTTAAAATGATCTTAAAGTGAACACCAGTACAGATAATGTACAGTATTGGTATAGATATGTGCTATATGTTGTATAAACAAACAAAATGTTGACCGGTTTAAAATATTCCACTTATTTGTTCTCATTTTGGGTGAATATCGTGACTGAGAAGGAATTGTCACGTGTTAAGATGTTCAGAAAGTACTTCCCATCAGATATTACATGGATATATCATTGAAGAAACTCATAGACTTAATATCACCGTGAGGGAGAAATATTGGTGGGTGTAATGGGTCACTCGACAAAGGATTTGTTTGTGATGGTGAACTATAATAAGTGACAAAGTGGTGTGCCCATTGTCACAGCCGCGCTACGTGGAGCAGAAGCCAATGAGAGGCTGAAGAGGAGGTGGATAAGGTGGTGACTCTGCCATCGAACCTCCTGATCGTCTTCGGGACGCCCAAAGACGCACGTCCACGCCTGCTAATACGGCTGTCATATCAACTACGTCCCAGTCGCAGAGACAGTGGTCAGAGAATTGAAGCTCCACGGAAGTTGTGTCACTGCTGCCCTTCTGTGCGGACTTCAGAATCAGAATAAATATTTATATACTGCAGGTAAGAACGTTACAACAACAAATACGAAAGCATGATAGGAGTGCAAAGTCCAAGAAAGGTAAACAAATCACCCAAACTCATACTCTTCGGTTCTTTCGGTAAAGTCGGTAAAGTCACGTAGGTAGAAATTAAAAATAAACCAAAGAGTATGGATTCCTGCAGTCACGAAAGCTTCAAATCAAGATTAAATCACCCAAACACATACAAATAAAACTAAAGCATCCCCATCCTAGCAGGTTAAAGCCCACTGAGGTATTAACTTATTTTTCATAAGCGACCTGGCCACAAATGATAGCTCAACAAAGTGGCCCATCATTTGGACATTTATAGCACCAAAATAATACGAATAATCTCAATGCAGCAGGGCAGCCGAGTGTGCCTATCATTGCTGTCGAGCAAAGACAGGCTTCATGTTAAATTGTTGTCTCTTTGGTTTTTTCGGTAAACGCACGTAGGTAAAAAATAAAAATAAATTAAATCACGATATTTCGGGCGTAACACAAGCGTCCTTCTTCAGGTGGGGACAAGTTAGCGAAAGCACAACCGCTTAAGTGTGTCTCAGAGGTGGCTGTGACGAGTCATTATATAGTCGCGGGGGGTGTGCTTTCGCTGAAGAAGGATGCTTGTGTTGTGCCCAAAACGTCGTGATTTATTTAAAAAATTTACCTACCAAAGAGTATGAATCCTTGCAGTCACGAAAACTTCAAATTTTGAATTATTGATGCATATTGTTCACGCTTGCATTCTAAATACGAGGTACAGTAAATGGCTCTCGGTCTTTGCGTCCACCCTCCTCACCCATCAACCCTCGCGCAGTCCGAGACGCAATCAGTTCCACTCCGTAACAAGTGCGCTAAGGAAGTGTGGAGAGATGCAAGCTTGAAATTACGTTGAGAGAAAGATAGAGTAACACATAGATCTGAGAACATATGGAGGTTAATGAAATGTTGAGAAAAGTAAGTGGGTCTTAGGCACGGCACATCGGCAAGAGGGGATGAATGCTGGAGAATGAGCAATAAAATCAGCTCGTGCGCAGGCGGCTAGACAGATTATTACATCACATGACCGCAAGCAGTTTCGACAGCTTGGAAAGGCCTTCAGCCAGCAGTGGATGAAGCATGGCTGATGAGACGAAGTATCGGTACCTGGCTGTCGGACAGCAAGACGTCTCCGTCGGGAGCGATGGCCTGCTCATGCTGCTGCTGCCAGCCCGGGTTCATGTCGACCATCCGATGCTGCAGTTCCATTCGTTGCGTAACCTGGGCGGAAGGGACGCGCCGTTATTCTCGCTCACAATGTGAGCCACCCCCCTTCCGAGGGCCCCCGAGCATTTCATGGTTCGGCACTAAAAGAACGATGGCAGGAGCTTTGGAAAAACAAGCTATCAAAAAATGTCTCATCACTGACCCAACTATTGAACCACCCTGGATTAAAAACACCTCCAAAACAATGATGTAAGCTGAGCTGAATAAACATTTTTGAAACTGAACCAATATCCAGATTTTCCAAAATGCTTCAAGACACCCTTTCTGAAAATTGGGTCTGTCCCAACCAAACCAGGAGATTATCTTGAAATATGTAAACGTGTATCTACACATTAAGTGTGTCTCAATAATTAGTTGCTGGATCAACACAATCAGTATCATCCCATAAGGTAAAAGCCATAACAGAATAAAAATATAACCACTTGAGGAATCTGATTAAGTTCTTTTTCACAGATGTCCAGTTGAGGTGGGTCAGAAAGTTACAACAATAATACAAAAACACTATAGGAGTGCAAAGTATAGTAAACATAAGCAAGTCACTAAAATATCAATGGCCAATCAATGGGAAATTGTAAATCATAATTGGCAAGAACAGCCAGGTGGCTCAGTGGTAGAGATGAGCAGCTCGCGATCGTTTAAATCCTGGTTGGAGTTTGACTCAGCCCATCTTCCCTCCCGGGTCGTTAAAACGGGCACCACTTTGTGGGGAAGTCAACAGTGGTGGACTCGCCCCCGCCATATGAATGTGGAATGTCCGCCACTGCCTAATATTTTGCGCAGGAAATCACTTTCCCTTTTTAATCATAATGTCTCATAGCCCACATGGTCTAAGGAGGACAGATAACCAACCTCCCCCCCCACGGCTTCACCACAGTCCGCACCCAACGCACCTCCTTGCACTCCAAGCAAACCACGCGATGGGAGCACCCGTGGAGCTCCGTGATTCGCCGGCTGCCGGCCTTGGCGTGCAGCGCGTCCACGTTCTGCGTGACGAGCCAGTGCAGCCGGCCCTGCTGCTCCCAGCGACCGAGGGCGAGGTGCGCCGCGTTGGGGCGCCGGCTGCTGAACCGCGGCCAGCCGGTGAAGTTGCGCGCCCAGTAACGGCGGCGGGCGGCGGCGCTGCGCACAAACTCGGCGTGCTGCATGGGTCGACGCGACGTGCGCGCAGTAGAGCCCCACGCCCTCCGAGCGGTAGTCGGGGATGCCCGACTCGGTCGACAGCCCGGCGCCCGCCAGCACGAAAAGGCGCCGGGACTTGGCGAGGAAGTCCTGCAGCTGCCCGCATTGCTGCGTGCCCGCGGGGGCGCACGCCGGCACGAAGGCGAGGTCAGGGGACGCAGCCGGTGAGGAGCACCATCTCGCATGGAGGTCGGGCCGCTTAAGGGCTCGGGCCAGTGACAGCACCAACCACACCATGCCTAATAGAGGTTTTTTTTTGGGTTAGATTGCGTACATATGAATGTGTCGTTAAACCCGCCACCGCCCGACACAGCCCGACACAGCCAATTAGTAAGATTTGTCACGTAAACCGGTGTGTTGGAGAGAAAATTCACAACATTTACAATCCGAGTACAGCGTTTCGCCAGTAATTACAACTAGCATAATCAGGCAGAGAGTCAAATTTATGGCTGTCCGCCTGATGATGCTGGTTGTAATTACTTGCGAAACAAATCTGGCAGGTAATAGAAAATATTGCGCAATTTTAAAAAACTATGTTAAATAATACATTTTCGTTACGTAATGCTGATTTTTTTTGTAGACGGGTCATAGTACAATTACAATCGAGTTACAGAAATATTAATGAGATGTAGATATGTAATAAGTAATATTTTAAAATACTTTTTTTTAAACACGCTTTAATTAAATGTACCCTACTCGTAATGGCAGAACTCCACGACTTGAGGAAGTGGCCCCGAAGCTTGCCATAACGTAAGGGGCCGTGGCCAATTACAGACAATGTCAGTTGAGCGTGGACAATTAGACCAAAGCCAACACATAACATATAAAAATCAATGTTTAAATATACTTTTTTTTATAGAATATAGTATTGTCATCAGTATGACATAAGTATACCAAGTTTGCAGTCGATGCCACATTGGGAAGTGGGTTAAAATTGAGTTACAAGATTTGAGGATACGACAACAACAGACAGAATGAGTTCATAGAAAGCGTGGAAAAAGATCGTTTAAATTTTTTCATTTTTAATGATAGAATATGGTATTGTCATCAGTATGACATAAGTATACCAAGTTTTCAGTCGATACTACATTGGGAAGTGAGTTAAAATTGAGTTACAATATTTGAGGATACCACAACAACAGAGTGAGTTTAATAAAAGCGTGTAATAAAAAAGACAAGGATATGTAGCAAATCGGTGTCTATCGAACCTGTGTTGAGTTGAATCTGAATGTGGTGGTCTTGACGACAGCGCGGATGGGTGAACAAGATCGGAGTTCAGTCAGGAGACCTGCTCACACCGCCAGACGAGAGCACAGAGACAAAACGATCCCCACGTATGGCACTTAACAGGCTTTCGGTAAAGTCACGTAGATAGAAAACATAATACAATACAATAATAAAATAATCACAACACAAGCAATCACACATTCACACGTGCACAGAGTGACAGTGAAACACACAGCAATACCTTGTATAGCGATCATGTTGGAGCAAGGAGTGTGAAACACAGACACACTTTGACACATACCGAGACACAATGAAAGACACTCATCGATACACATTGAAACACTGACAACAACAACCGCCATTCGCCACTAAGTGGTGGTGACGTCACCACGACGCTTGTGCCAGGATAGGTGCACGTTGAGGCCACGTGAAGTGTCGAAAGCCCGCTGGCAGGAGGTCACGGGGCAGACCCAGCAGGTGCCACGGGTCGACTGACTGAGATGACCGAGATGAGTGGCTGGTGCACCACCTGTGCCCCCTACACTGACACACGCTGTGACACACTGCCACACACACACACACTCTGATGCCCTCCGACACACCGTGACACACCGTGACACACGTACCGTGACATCAACAGACGGAGTTTGACGTCTTCCCCCGGAGCTGCTCTGTGAGCGAGCGCCCTCAAAGACGCCGCGCGCGGACGACCAAACACCAACTCACTGTCCACAGCACACGTGACCCCCCCGGCACTGTAAAAGCACGTGACCCCCGCCGCACTGTAAAAGCACGTGACCCCGCGCCGGGCGGCGCCATGTTGGTACTCCCGTTAAAGTGCTGTACTTATTATTGGTTCTTTCGGTAAAGTCACGTGGATAGAAATTTAAAATAATAAATAATACATTATTTTTTTGGAAATTTATTGAAAATAATAAAAGCAAAAAAACCCACGACGTTTCGATAGCAATACAAGCGGTCTTCATCAGGCGGAGAGAAAAGAGGGGGGGGGGGCAAGCCTCCAACTTCGCCCCCCCAGGGACACCCCGCGCCCCCACCGACCCCCCCACCCAACCCCCGCATGCCCCCCCCCCGCATGCCCTCCCCACCCAACCCCCCGTGCCCCCCCACCCAACCCCCGCGTGCCCCCCCCCACCAACCCCCGCGTGCCCCCCCCACCCAACCCCCGCGTGCCCCCCCCACCCAACCCCCGCGTGCCCCCCCCCACCCAACCCCCGCGTGCCCCCCCCCACCCAACCCCCGCGTGCCCCCCCCCACCCAACCCCCGCGTGCCCCCCCCCACCCAACCCCCGCGTGCCCCCCACCCACCCAACCCCCGCGTGCCCCCCCCCACCCAACCCCCGCGTGCCCCCCCCCACCCAACCCCCGCGTGCCCCCCCCCACCCAACCCCCGCGTGCCCCCCCCCCACCCAACCCCCGCGTGCCCCCCCCCACCCAACCCCCGCGTGCCCCCCCCCACCCAACCCCCGCGTGCCCCCCCCCACCCAACCCCCGCGTGCCCCCCCCCCACCCAACCCCCGCGTGCCCCCCCCCCACCCAACCCCCGCGTGCCCCCCCCCACCCAACCCCCGCGTGCCCCCCCCCACCCAACCCCCGCGTGCCCCCCCCCACCCAACCCCCGCGTGCCCCCCCCCACCCAACCCCCGCGTGCCCCCCCCCCACCCAACCCCCGCATTCCCCCCCCCCGCGCCCCGATCCCCCGCCAACCCCCCGCTCGCTACCAATCACAGGCCGCCCTCCTCCCCACGTGTCACGTGCCAAGGTCGCAGCCAATCGGCGTGGCGGGAGTAAGATGGCCGGCGAAAGGCGTCGCGTGCAGGAGTCGATTCCACCGATCCATCCTGGGAATCGATTTCTCAGAATCGGAATATTGATTACTGCAGCAAGGGGAATCTGAAGAGCTATGAAGCGCTTTTTGTCACAGATGTCCTCCAGTAGGGGGCACGTGGTAAGAACGTTCAAAAGTACAAGAAATGTCAACACAATCACCCTAAACACACACCCGCTGCAGATAGAGCCAATTTTAATTCGACGAGAGAAAAATCGATGCATCGTTCATTGCATTACAAGCAGCAACAGCAATAACAACAACCGTCATTCACCACGAAGTGCTCCTGACATCACCACTGTGCTTGCATAACAAGCAAATTAAATAGTCAACAACCACGTGTGTGTTTTTGTGCACTCCTGATGTGTCTTCGTATTCTTGTAACGTTCTGACCCGGCCCTTACTCAACATATGTTTTTTTTTTAAACGCTTCATAGCTCATCGGATTCCTCTCTGCAGCCTAAATAAATAAATAATCTCGTTCTGTTGCGAAATTCAGCACCACATTCACAGCTCCACGTGGAATCGATTATTGAAGGTAATCGTGACGTCGATTCCATTGAGTGTGAATCGAGGAATCGATTCTCCACGTTGTCAAGCAAGAGTGCAGGGCGCTTGGAAGCCGGCGAGAGTTTCCCCGTAATTATAATAATTAAATAATAGTTATATAATTGTTATAATTGTACAATACTTATAATTACATTGTCGCGCAATGAAGCCAACAACCCGCGTTCGATTCCCTGCCGCAGCTAACGTCAGTGGCGAATGTAATCCGAACCGGTTCTGCAACACCGTACTGACCAGCGTGGTGAAGTATGGTCAAACCACGATCACTGCAACCACCACGACCGATGCGACATAGGGGAGGCCTTCACCCGGTAGTGGATTGACAAGGGGCTGCAGTAAGAGTGCCCTTCGTTGTACCCGGGGAAGGCCCCGCCGAATGTCCCAGACTCGTTGCCGAGAGGGCCTTGCCACATTGACTGATTTGTCGCTTATTGAGAGTTTTGACTTTTGGTGGGAGGAAAACAGAGAACCCGGAGAAAATCCACCAAGACACTTAAACATCTTCTTGGTTCTTTCGGTAAAGTCACGTAGAAGGGAAATAATACAAATAAACCAATGAAATAATTCTCACGACGTTTCGGCCACAACGCAAGCAGCCGTCCTCAGGTGAAGACCAGGTCTGTCGGAGAGACAGCGTCTGAATGAAACACCACCACGCTTGGCAGCTTATATTTAAGCTGGGTTGGAAGAGGGGAGAGCGCCTTGACAAAATAATTCGCATATCAAGAGGAATTTAGCATATTTATGGGAAATGCAGATATGTGATTAGTACTACTTGTGAAATGCGTAGGAGGTGGGCGGGGGGTTATTTTATTATGTTTTATTTTTATTATTTTATTATTTCCCTTCTACGTGACTTTACCGAAAGAACCAAGAAGATGAATCCCTGCAGTCACGAAAGCTTTAAATCGGACACTTAAAAATGTCTATTGAGTGTTCACGATCCCACGTGCGGCATGGGATGTCACACCCCATGAAGTGGCCAGGAGATGGCAGAGCAGCATTGGATTCTTGAATCTGTGCGGATAATTGAGCGTTACTCCCCTCTCACGTTAGCAGTGAATTTTATCCGGTCTCCCGCCTCCCACAATCCACTCGATAATAGAAATCGGCCAAACATTTCAATGTATAAGGTCCCTCCCAAAAATAAAGTTTTGAGATGGAAAAAAATTTACGGGATCTTATTAATTTATTATGATTTATTTTATTTCTATTCTATAATTTTTTAGTATTATTTATTTTTAACCTACGTGACTTTACCGAAAAAACCTAAGAGTATGAATCCTTGCAGTCACGAAAGCTTCAAATCTAGAATTCTTCACATTAAATCCAGCTGCTTGGCACGCAGTTAACTTTATAACCACTGTCAATCCACTGCTGGAGCCTTCGGTCAACATCGGTCGTGGGGTGCTGATCGAACTTCTCTACACTGGTCCAGTGCTGGTTTGACAAGGGGAGGACACCAGAGCCGGTTCGGATACTAATCGCTGTTATTAGTCGCCGCTGAGTTCGAACTACAGCGCACGAACCACTGCGGCCACTCTATCCTGGCGCTATAAATAGGAGGGACATTTTACATTGGGATTTTAATAAAAAAAATTCAGGTCAGGTTACAACTCTAGGTCGGGGTAACAATTCCACCCGTCATCATAGGCCCCTCCAGGTTTAGATATTGAACTACTACTTTGTGCCAAGTCAAAAGTGGTGGTTTTATGGGTAAACTAAACCTGCCATACGCATGGAGAACTTCCAACACTGTTTTAGTGTTCACCCATTTTCAGAGGAGGGCCACTTTCGACGATAAGCCATCGTCAGTGTGAGGGCCAATACAGATTTGAAACCATTGGGTTTAATATGATGATGGAGGTGTCTTTACATTCGTGTATTGTCGGGGGCTGCATGTCAGGGGCAGCACTAAAGGCCACCAGGGCCGCCAGTGGCCCGTGGGCGTTGCAATGAAGAACATTGCTGCTTCAGACAGATGACCACCACCCCATTCTTGTTTGAGCGAGGAGACCCTTTGACTTGCCTCGTCTCTTAACGGCATCCCTCGCTTTTTCACAGAGCGCCACGCTGAGCAGTGAGCAGAGTGGATGTCTTGGGTGAATGTCCTCCCCGCGACGAAACATCCCTTCTTCAAGACATCCCTCGGCTTCGCAAGACGTTCATTCAGCAGACGTCTGCAGTGGCCGTCACCGCAACTGAAATATCTACTAACCTCCGCCCACTGGCCCACGCCATCTCCTGGCTCTTCTTTCGCTGGGCGTTGTAGGAGGCTGGTCACTCCCTGTAGCAGTAGCAGCAGCAGCACCAACAGTGTGAGTGCAGCAGGAGAAGTAGGGTTCCCACGATATAATATTTTACGATAATATCTACATCAAGTCGTCGGCCATGGCCATTCCACTGCTTGATGAAGGCCTCCCAAAGCTACCGCCATCGCTAATTATCAGATTTAAAATATATACAAAATTATTTGTAATATTTGTTTCAGAATTTTATCAAAGTGCGATTTTATGACTTTTCCAATTAATCCCAAAAATTGGCCACACGTCCAAATGTTGTGCAATATACTGTAGTCATGTCTTCTTTCCAACGGGACACTGTTGATTGGTGAAGGGTTTTGAAGACCTGAGTAGCTATGCTGGATAGGGACAAAATCTGCTATCTTCACGTTCCTACCGACACTGACTAGCTTGGTGAATTATGGTCAAACCCGACCCCTATAAGCGGCGGAGGAGGCGGAGTGATACAACCAGCACGTGTGCAGGCACTCGGATTATATATCGACGGATCGCGGGGGATGGCAGCGGATTGGGGAGTGGATTGACCGTGGCCTGATAACGATGACGATCATTGTATTGTCACGTTGCCGCATCCCTAGGTGGCAGGGATGGAGCTGCACGAGGTGGTGCGTACGTTGGAAGAGCTGGCACCTACAGCTCTGGCCGAGAGCTGGGATAACGTGGGGCTGCTGGTGGAACCGAGCCCGCCGCACTGCGTCTCGACCCTGCTGCTCACCAACGACCTGACGGAGGAGGTCCTGCAGGAGGCCGTGCGACTGCCCGCCCAGATGGTGCTCTCATACCACCCGCCCGTGTTTGCACCCCTGCGCTCGCTCACCATGCGCTCCTGGAAGGAGAGGCTAGTGGTGACGGCGCTGGAGAACAGGGTGGCTGTCTACTCGCCACACACCTGCTACGACGCCCTGCGCGGAGGAGTCAACGATTGGCTGGCAGAGGGCCTCGGTATGGGATTGCTCAGTGTTGTGTGCTGCGTAGGTTTTCGCAGTTGTGCTGTACAGCCCTCCGATGTTTATGGGTTGTGCCACGTGTTGTTTGGCACAATGGGTCAGCACGTTTCGCCCCGTGTGCTGGGAGCTTCTTCAGGAACTAAGAAGTAAAGATGCTACCATGGTGTAATGGTTATCACACTGGACCTTTTGTAATATTTGGCCACTTCCATTGACGGGCGTTTGGCTTCATGTGGGAGGAAACTGGAGAACTGGGAGAAAGTCCACCACATTATATGAGGGGGTGACACAGGTTTGCCCATATACGTTTACGATCCCCCTTAAAGAGTGAAAGATTTCACATCTGTATGTATACAGACTGCTGCGGTATAATGGTTAGCAGACTGGACTTTAAATCCGGAGATCACCAGCTTCATCTCCCAGTGCAGCAGTGGAAACAATGATGGTTCAAGGTTGTTAAATCAATTCACCTGTCCACCCAGCAGTATAAATAGCAACAACGCTATTGATCATCAGTTCGCATGTGGCGGGGTAAAGTGTGAGTACTCCCAAATCATCCAAGATGTCTGTCCAGCATGTAACCTCGAGAAGGACTCTTTAAAGCTGCCTCTAATGGAGGCTGGACCGTCAAAAGTGGCATGAGCAAGAAATTGTATTGCCGCACTTTTTCCCTTCAGCGAGAATTGGTTTTAAACGGTGATACATTGATGCACGTGTTGCGGCCTCACGATTGTGTCGTGCAGGCAAGGGCTCCGTGACCCCACTAAAGACATCTGAGGCCTTGAAGCATCTGAGCCAGGGGAGCGTGCACGTGACGAGTGCTGCCAAAGCGGCGGACTGGCCCTCGCTGGCCGCCCAGCTGAGGGCCGTGTCTGGGCTCGTACTCCACACCCTGCCCCTGCAGTACGTACGCACACCTTTAAGTTTCAGTTTTCAGTTTAATTTATTTGGTATAGCCCTGTGAGCCATTCGGCTCTTGAATCGTTGTGCAACCGCAACAAACAAAAGACAAAAACATGAACAAGAAAACATCTTAAAGTGACTATGTGCACGCAGAAAATCTAGGGGGAAAAAAACAGCAAAATATTCCAGAAAAAGCACCGTGCACGCACAGCCCCTTTTTGTCGGTCCACTGCTGGATTTAGGGCCCCCTCACAGCGCGCGGGTTATGGGGGTCATTGAGCCATACTTCACCGCGCTCTTCAATGCGAGTCGATGCAGGGAGCATGGACGTTGAAGTGTCGGCGAACAGTAAGCCAATGGATTTTTCCGCACTGCCCTCTGCTTTCCGCCACATAGACCGAGAGCCTTCAACTGCGTGTTATGTATGGTGGTCAACCATCCAAGCACCATCCAGGCTAAACCCTACTTCTGAGTTTGGATGAGATTGGGCACATTCTGGGTGATTTCGTCACAGGCAAACCCATCCAAAGCGATGTTTATATTCTATCTGCCACGCTGGAGGAATGCAAGGCTGATGCGACCCCTGAGTGGGATTTTAACTCACTGCATTCTGCATGCGAGCCTTGCACTGCGCTACTCTGCGCATTGATCGAATTTTGACTTTTTTAGGTTTCTAAATTGGGATGTTCGTTTGGCCAGGTCTGATCATCAGTGTTTTGCATTTGAAAGTAATTCAGAGTACCCAGAGAGAAGCGACCATGCATACAAGTGAATGATAGTCAAAGGCACGCACAGAAGGGTTCACAAAACGTACCTGCTGTACTCTTACCTGTTAGCCACCTCCCAGCCAAGCGAGTTTGGGACAAGTAACTATACGTGATCCACAAACCCTCGCATACAAAATATGAAATCGGAGGTGTACATTTGGAATATGTTTCCAATTTTCATACTTCAAAAAAATATGAAAATGGTACCTAGAGTTTAAATTTTTGATGATCCTAACATGTCTTTGCTTCAGATTAACCTGAAAGCATGACGTTGCAGGAAATTACATTACTTTCATGACATCACTTGCGCACTTTTCCTGCAAAAAGTGGTGTCACCTGTCATGTGAATGATCTGCATATATGAAAAAGAAACTAAACTGTTCTTACCTAAATAAATAAAAATCTAAATGCAGATTATTATTTTTTTTATCCAAAACTCGTTCCCTAGCGTGCGCTACCAATACCACGCCCGTCCTCGTGAGCGTAACGACTCTCGATCGACGTCTGTGTCGTCTGCAGGACTGCGAATGAGGGGGAAGAGTCGACGGTGATGCTCAGCATGAATTGTACAGAGGGAGCCTTGCCCGAGACGCTGGCTTGCCTGTCCAACAACGAGCACGCGCACCGCCACACGGAGATCACTGCCCTGCGCAAGGTCGGTCCAAATGCAGAGGGAGCCCAAGAGCAGGGCCTGGGAACACCTTGGAAATATTCTGAAACGTTCCGGCCAGCCGGGAGGCACACGGTCGCACACATATACATAGACCAACATTGGCACATGTAGATACGGCAGTACACACAAAGACGAATATCTCCCCTGTAGCAGTAACAGACTGTTGTAATAGCTATCATGAGAGACATGGTGTGGCAAAGCCCTCATCCAGAAGTGGATTGACAAAAGGGCTGTACACGTACATGTTACACAGTACCTGCTAAGACGGATGATGGGAATATCTATTAAGAGAAAGGTGGTAGAATTAAGATGTTGAGAGGCTTAGCGGGGGCTACTAATATTCTCAAGAAGGTAAGGGAGGGTGGCCTAAGATGGATTGGATCATTCGTTGAGAAGCGACAAAGAAGGTCCAATTCGATGGGTGATGGAGGTGTCAGGGGTGCTGAACAGAAGGAGCAGAGAGGGGCTGAGGAGGAGATGGGAGGATGTTGTGGAATGAGATATGAGGACAGTGGATATGGCTAGAGATGAGGCGGAGGATAGTACGTGGAGGGAGAAAATCCGAGCCGCTGACCCCACACACACATTTATGGGACTTTTGTATCAGATTAAGAAGATCGACTCCATGATACACGTCACATAAGAGGTGTGGTACGTGAGCAGCGCGTGTTTTCCCTTCTTGTCCCATAGCCACCGTTCCCCGGCACCGGCATGGGCCGACTGTGCACGCTCACTGAGCCGGTATCCACATCCACGCTGGTGTCGCGCATCAAGCAGCACCTCAAGCTGCCCCACGTGAGGCTAGCCCTGGGAGCCGGGAAGTCGCCAGGTAACCATTGCCATGTCAGTCATCATTTGGTCATGTGCAAGAAGAAGTTGTGTTGTGTGCTATAGATTTACAAGTTCTATGTAACAGACACGGCGATGCTATGTGCTGTGTGCTCGAGGCTCAGAAGAAGCCCAGGTCGCCCTTGCCAAAGAGGCAATGTTTCACGTGTCTCAATGATATTCTTGGTTCTTTCGGTAAAGTCACGTAGAAGGGAAATAATAAAATAATATTAATATAAAAAATAAAATATACACATTTTATTTTATTATTTCCCTTCTACGTGACTTTACCGAAAGAACCAAGAATATGAATCCCTGCAGTCACGAAAGCTTTAAATCAAAAGTGCCTCAATGAGTTTCGTTTATCTCCTAGTTAAATAAACGATACGAATATGTGCGATGTGTTATATGCTAACAGTGGCGCTGTGTACTATGTGCCACAGGGCTCCGTGCTGCTGTATTCTACATAGGAGTGATATGTGCTACAACCTCAACGGTGGTGTGTGTGATGTGTTCTACAGACTCGACAGTGCGGACCGTGGCGTTGTGTGCCGGCTCTGGGGGCAGTGTGCTCAAGGGTGTTCAGGCTGACCTCTACCTTACAGGTGCAGCACCACACATCACTCACCTTAATGCTGCCTCGACCTGCAGTTTCAATCCTGTCCCATTAGCACCCCACCTAATAATTATAATCACCACGCCGGGTCGTGCTGTGGCAGAGTGCTCCGCTCCCGGTTGGAAGTTGGTGAATTAGAATCGTGGGTCATGGGTCGATTCAATCCATCATTCCTTCAGGGTCAATAAAATTAGTACTATTTCATGATTGGTGCATTGTGGTGGTCCCTTAACACCGACCCATTTTCTCCACTACTCTCGTCTGTGCTGTGTACGTGGCAGGGGAGCTGTCGCACCACGAGGTGCTGGACGCAGTGTCCCGGGGTGTCAGCGTCATTCTCTGCGAGCACAGCAACACCGAGCGTGGCTTCCTGCCCCGCCTGCGTCTCCTGCTGCTCGACAAGCTACAGCACAAACTCCACATTCACGTGTCTGAGGTCGACCGCGACCCCCTGACCGTCGTCTGAGAACGCCGGAGAGTTCTCTTTGGTTTCCATCAGTTTATTTCAACGAGGGGGTGTTATTATACTATCGTGCAGGTTGTTGCAGTCGTGCTGTACATCTCTGCGATGTACTTGCGGGTTGTACCACGTGCTGTTTGGCATGATGTCAGATGTTTTGCTCCACATGCTGCAACCACTGTGGCCTCCGCAGTGGTAAGTTTTAGCCTCCCCGTGGGCTATATTTGAAGAATTAGAACTGCGCTTAATTTCTGTCATTTTTCATGCTAAAACACATTTTGAAAGCGAGTCATCTTATGCAGGAATGCCTCACTGAGTTGTAAAGACTTCTTTGACAGGAGGATCCCACATTGGAATGTTTGGTTGATTCCTGTGAGTGCAAATTAATATTAAAACTCAACATGCTATAACGTAGATATGTAATAGGCTAATATTTATGCCAACGACCCTTTACAATATTCTATTTAGAGTGTGGCCTTACTCTTAGGAAGGGCTTTTGCATTAAATGTTAGCCTAATGACGTAAAATGTTGTTGTGCTTTTGCACCTTTCCGAAAACTGTCGTTTATTTTTTTTCTGTTACACGAGGCTAGAGTTCCTTAGACAAAATCAACATATGTGATAGGATGTGGGTAAAATCGGTTCATATCGGTCAGTGACCTACTCGGTGTACTGTCTACTGTCAAGCTCGTATTCCTGGTGGTTGAGTCACTCATGCCGCGATGAAACAGTTGAAAATGATTCAGTTTTGAATAAATGTGGTTGAAAATAATGGATTAAAAACAAGTTGTAAACACTCACTGCCCCTTTTCTGATTAACAATCCTCTGACCAGACATGTCCCAATTGTGAATGAAGAAAGTACAAAAAAGGTAGTCAAGGTGACATGCGAAAAAAACTAAGAATATGAATAAAGTGACATGTGTTCGATAAAAGTTATTCACGATGACATTTGAAGATATTTTCTGAAAATTTGGAGAAACAAAAGGCAAAACTAGAAAAAACAATATTAATCATTTCATATTTACTAGTGACCTCGTCATAATGGGAATTAATTGCAGGAAATGTTAAAATAACTTAAAGGCTGTAAAGTTACATCGGGGCCGTCCATAAATGACGTCACACACTGAGGGGGGGGGTTTGAGAAATGTGACGTCACATCAAAATAAATGTAGACAACACTGAGACCACCTTTACCAGTGACAAAATATAGTAATAGGTTTCTACCCTTTCAAATGGTACAAAAACTGACACCTTTATACAATAACCACAACACAAGCAGTCAAAATGCAAAAAATAAGAAACAACTCTGATGATAATGATGTGCACTGTCCTTGAAGTTGATTGGTCCACACCCGAGATAGCTTTCCTTAGAGCCTAGTCTCCATTGGTGTTGGACCAGATGACGCCAAAAGGCGTACAACTCAAAAACAGCGCACTATCAGAGTATTGAGAGCTCGGGGTAAGCATTTACACTATGAGACCTTTACCAATGGCAAAATATAGTAGTAGATTTTTAAATCCTTTATATTAAGTTCGCTTGCTTGCTTGCGTGCTTGCTTGCTTGCGTGCTTGCTTGCTTGCTTAGGACCGTGCAAATCTTTCGCTAGTTTTTTAACCCACTTCCCGTGATCCAATCGAGCTGACATTTTCCACACAGACTCGTTGTGCGTGACAAATAATTTTCGTGAAAAAAAATTCCAAAATTTTACACTGTTTAGGAAAAACAAACTAAATATTTAATTACCAATTGCTTAATACTGGCAGACAATCATCTGACCCATAGGTGGCAGCCATCTCAAGCCAGAGGACGAGAGGACTCTAGCCGCCACGCATATAAAGGATTTAGAGTGAAAAACTTTGTTTTTACGGGTTATACTTGTTACCCTTTCACATTTCTCAAACCCCCCCCTCGTCACGTGTCACAAATGTGTGACCCCCCCCCCCCCCAGGTGCGTGACGTCATCCATGTACGGCCCTAATGTCAAGGGGGCCCGCAACTGAAGGCCACCAGGGGGCGCCGCAGTGGCCCGCGGGACCTTGCGACCGCTCTTCGTGTTGACCCGCGCGTGTCCCGTCCGAGTCCTCTGTCGGGGCCGAGCGGGCGGGTATGGCCGCGTTGCTGGGCCGAGCCCTGGGCGTCCTCACCGCGGGAGGAAGAGGAGGAGGAGGCGGCTGCTTCTGCTCCGCGCTGCGTGCCGCAGGTGACCCGGGCCCAAGGCCCGAGGCTCTCTTTAGGCCTCGCATTGCATCTCCCACTGCTGTTGGGCGACAGCCGGGGATTGGCGGCCGCCGATTGGCCGTCGTCGAGGGCGTGGTTTGGAGAGCTCCGACGTGATTGGCGCGCTTGCTCGAGCGCGATGCGGCGCCGCGCGTTAGTGTTGGGAAATGTGAAGTGGTGGCCGCACGCGCGTTGGGGGTCATTTGAATGGGATCCACCGACCTCTGAAGGCGGACAGGTTGGTGAGTGGGTAGGTGGGTGGGTGAGTAAGTGGGTCGGTGGGTGAGTAAGTGGGTCGGTGGGTGAGTGAGTGGGTCGGTGGGTGAGTGAGTGGGTAGGTGGGTGAGTGGGTGGGTCGGTGGGTGAATGAGTGGGTAGGTGGGTGAGTGGGTGGGTAGGTGGGTGAGTGAGTGAGTGGGTAGGTGGGTGAGTGAGTGAGTGGGTAGGTGAGTGAGTGGGTAGGTGGGTGAGTGGGTAGGTAGGTAGGTGGGTGAGTGGGTAGGTGGATGAGTGAGTGAGTGGGTAGGTGGGTGAGTGGGTGGGTAGGTGGGTGAGTAAGTGGGTAGGTGGGTGAGTGAGCGCGTGGGTGAGTGAGTGGGCGGGTAGGTGGGTGAGTGAGCGGGTAGGTGGGTGAGTGAGTGGGTAGGTGGGTGAGTGAGCAGGTGGGTGGGTAGGTGGGTGAGTGAGTGGGTAGGTGAGTGAGTGGGTAGGTGGGTGAGTGAGTGGGTAGGTGGGTGATTGAGCGGGTAGGTGGGTGAGTGAGTAGGTGGGTGGGTAGGTGGGTGAGTGAGTGGGTAGGTGAGTGAGTGGGTAGGTGGGTGAGTGAGTGGGTAGGTGGGTGAGTGAGTGAGTGGGTAGGTGGGTGAGTGAGTGAGTGGGTAGGTGGGTGAGTGAGTGAGTGGGTAGGTGGGTGAGTGGGTAGGTGGGTGAGTGGGTAGGTGGGTGGGTAGGTGGATGAGTGAGTGAGTGGGTAGGTGGGTGAGTGGGTGGGTAGGTGGGTGAGTGAGTGGGTAGGTGGGTGAGTGAGCGCGTGGGTGAGTGAGTGGGTAAGTGGGTGAGTGAGCAGGTGGGTGGGTAGGTGGGTGAGTGAGTGGGTAGGTGAGTGAGTGGGTAGGTGGGTGAGTGAGTGGATAGGTGGGTGAGTGAGCAGGTGGGTGGGTAGGTGGGTGAGTGAGTGGGTACGTGAGTGAGTGGGTAGGTGGGTGAGTGAGTGGGTAGGTGGATGAGTGGGTGGGTAGGTGGGTGAGTGTGGCGGGTGGGTGAGTGAGCGGGTAGGTGGATGAGTGGTTAGGTGGGTGGGTGATTGGGTGAGCGAGTGGGTGGGCGAGTGGTTGGGTGAGTGGACGGGTGGCGGTGGACATTTCCACATTGTCGTGGTCAGAGCGAATAACATCCAAAGGACGATCACAAACGTGGCACTCGCGCTTTAACAACCTCGTTGGATTGATGGCGATTGCCCGAGTGTGCCTGCCGTCGTGGTGTGCCAATGTGACCAAATTTGGAAAATTATCCGTGAATTGCTCTTTTGCAATATACAGTACATAAAAAAAAATCGCTCCCCCCCCCCATGTACTCCAATCACTTGGCAGCACCCTCTTGTAAAAGAGTCATGGGACTCTCGCTGTCCTGGGTAAAACAAGCATACATTATAACGTGCTTGCCCCGGCATGGTAATGTGGAATTGACCCAGATGGCTCAGCACAGGTCTTCATTACTCGCTGAATATTTTCCGGGTTGCCGGGAGACTGGCGGAGTTGGCACGCAATTAGTAGTTGTAGCGAGAGGTCGTATACTGGATGTGGTGTGCTGGGTGTTAGGAATATTTTTCCGCATCACATACCCTGCTGAAAGTTAAGCCCTGGGTCAACACTGGACCCGTTGACTGCTGCATTAGGCAATCACTTCAGTGATTTGTTAATGAGTTAACACCTTTGTGCTTAACACCACGTTGCTCGTTTTTCCTGCAGGTGTACCCTTCCGCGTGCCTGCGGTGTTCACAGCGGGACTCAGAATCTTCCCGCAACCTGAGAAATTTGATGGTAAAAAAGTGTGTTTTCAGTCACCATTCATATCAACTGATTGTAGGTTATAAGTAGTAGCAAATCTGCAGCAAACACCATCCATTCACGCAGCCTCTTGCACCTCTTTACATGATCAATGGCTTTTAACGAGAATGGCGCCAGAAGGGTTGTGATGTTGCTGGTTTGTAAATATGGGATTACAAAACTCTCTTGGTGTGTTTCCGGGTAGAACCACGTGTTGTTTGGCATGATGGCCATCGTTTTACTCCACATTCCAGAAGGCTCTTTAGAAACTGAACATCATACATCAGAGAGCCTATACAGCACAACCGTTAAATCCGATGCAGTTAGTACACGATTGTAAAGTCTAATTCTTGTTTTCTTTTTCTCTCCCAGATGTGATCATTCCTACGAAAAATAAGCTTAAATTTGTCAGCAAAGTTCCCAACTACAAGAAAGCACGAAAATGGACCAAACAGTTGTCGGATATTCGGGGTCCCGCCAGAGGAAACACCACGTTCACCAACGGCAAATTTGGAATCGTGGTAAGTTTTAGCGTCGGTGGCTTTCACACAACCTCTGGTGCAAGAAATTAAACGGAGGGGAGGCCCCCTGTCCCCAATTATTCCCTTCCCGCTTTGTACCCCGGTGCCTGAGCCACTCCAACCCGTGGGCCCTGGTGCAGTTGCACCGCCTGTACACCGGATAGCTACGCCACTGCCGGGGTGGCGCAAGTGGTTAGTGCAGTGCACTCACGATATTAATACAGGTAGGAACAACAGTTCCACACTGCCCACCAGGGATTATTTGTCTGTCGTGCATAGCCACGCCCTCGATTTGTATTTCATAGAGCGCTTCGGGCGGGCTCAGTACCACGTGACGCGCCGCCCCACGCAGCTTGCGCCGCGTGACACGGATCGCACGAATGCGCTGTCCAACCAAGTTCCTACCTGCCCACTCCGAAGGAATGTGTTGTAGCGACCTGAGTTCAACTCCTGGCCACGAATAACTTCAGTGGTGCTGTGATGTCTGAACCAGTACTAAAGCCATTGACCAACGTGGTGAAGTATTATCAAACAGCCCCTTCTCACTGACAGCATCTAGCAGTGGATTGATGTTTTATAAGGGCACCACGGGGTGACCAGCCCCTCCCCACCCAGCCCCACCCTCCCCACCCAGCCCCACCCTCCCCACCCAGCCCCTCCCCACCCAGCCCCACCCTACCCACCCAGCCCGTCCCCACTAATCTCCTGCTTAAAGCCTCAAGGCTTAAAGCAGGAGATTAGCACCGCTATCAATGCACATTTGAGCAATACATAACTTTTGACTTTTAGCCATTTCTGACATCGTTCTTTTTCTTGCACTTTAAGGCTCTGGGAGGCGGGTACCTCCACTGGGGCCACATGGAAATGATGAGGCTCGCCATCAACCGTAAGATGGACAGCAAGAACATGTTCGCGCGCTGGCGTGTTCGAGCTCCGTACAAGCCGCTCACGCGCAAGGGCCTGGGCCAGCGCATGGGCGGTGGCAAGGGCGCCATCGATCACTACGTTACGCCTGTCAAGTACGGGCAGCTGGTGGTGGAGGTGGGCGGCCGTGCCGAGTTCACGGAGGCAGAGAGCTGGCTCGTCGAGGTGGCCAACAAGCTCCCCTTCCCCGCCAAGGCGGTGAGCAGCGAGCAGCTGGAGGAGATGCAGAAGACGGAGGAGTGGCGCATGGAAAACAACGAGAACCCGTGGACGTTTAAACGCATCGTGGACAACAACATGCTGGGCCTGCGCTTCACGTTGAGCCCCTATGACATTCGCTACTTCGGTAGATTCTGGGGCAAGTTCAAGCTGCCCTCCTGATCACGTGCGATTGCCGCTGTTGCGTTTATAATCGGCGAACGGCATCACATTTGTTTGAGCGCGCACGGTGTACGGTTGCTGAATTAAATCTGGCCTGTGTTCGTTGTCTTAAAAGTGTCGCTGTATTGTAATGCAGTTTTCATGACAAAATGAGCACTCTTCAATAAAAGACGTTATCGCCTTCACCTGGTGGTTCTCAACCTTTTTGGTGTGGTGGCCCCCCTCATAACCCCTATAAACCGTGCTCGCATCAACTCACAAGTTGCAAATGTTCAGTGAGGATTTTAAAGTGTAGCCACATAACACCTGTGATAGATCATGGGACCTCCCTCGCCAGTATCAAAATAAGAATAGGTTTTACCCTTTCGTCCTTGCAAAAACTGGAACCTTTTGCAAGGAGTTATGTCTGCATTATTCCTGGCAAAAAGGTTTAAGTTTGGTTTTTTAACATCTTAACACCTGTTTTATTGCCAGAAATTGTAAAACCTATTCTTATAACTGTGATAGAATTATTGCTATAATAATGGCACATCCTAATTTGGTTTATTTAATCTTAAGTATTGTTCTTCTTGGTTCTTTCGGTAAAGTCACGTAGAAGGGAAATAATAAAAATAAAACAATATATTTTTATAAACAAAATAAAATATTTTCTTTTATTATGTTTTATTTTATTTATTTTATTATTTCCCTTCTACGTGACTTTACCGAAAGAACCAAGAAGATGAATCCCTGCAGTGATGGGACTTTGTAGGATTAACGTTAAGATGTATAAGGGCACGGGGTGACCAATAAGGTCTGAATTGGTTTGTAGTAAGGGGCCGTCCATAAATGACGTCACGCGATTTTGGACGATTTTGACCCCCCCCCCTTCGTCACATGACGTCACAAAAAGTCAGACCCCCCCCTCAAATATGACGTCACAAAGCTCTGCCCCCCCCCCCCCAAATTAAAACATGCATCAAATCGCTTTAAACTATTGTCATTGTAGTGCGTATTTAATGTGGTGCTGCACTCTGATGTTGTAGGAGAAAACATTTATTAAAAAGTCTATTTAATTAAGTAGAACGTGTTGTTTATATTTATTTAAAGTTGCGCATTTTGATGTGACGTCCCCCCCCTCGTCACACATCGTCACAAATGTCTGACCCCCCCCCTCCCCCCAGGTGCGTGACGTCATTTATGGACGGCAGGGCCCTCAATTGTAATCCGCGTTACACGACAGCCGTTGCAGCGCGTTACTCGTCGCGTTACTCGCGGTTACCGTGGTAACGCCCCCCCCCCCACGTGACTTGGCAGGCCCCCACGTGACCGGAAGCACGTGTGAGCACCCGAACTCAGGGTTAGTTCACGGTGACGGGATTGGTGGTGGTGGTGGTTGTGGTGGTGGTTGTGGTGGTGGTTGTGGTGGTGGTTGTGGTGGTGGTTGTGGTGGTGGTTGTGGTGGTGGTTGTGGTGGTGGTTGTGGTGGTGGAGAGGGACAAGGTTGGTGGTGGTGGTTGTGGTTGTGGTGGTGGTGGAGAGGGACGAGGTTGGTGGTGGTGGTTGTGGTGGTGGTTGTGGTGGTGGAGAGGGACGAGGTTGGTGGTGGTGGTTGTGGTGGTGGTGGAGAGGGACAAGGTTGGTGGTGGTGGTTGTGGTGGTGGTGGAGAGGGACGAGGTTGGTGGTGGTGGTTGTGGTGGTGGTTGTGGTGGTGGTTGTGGTGGTGGAGAGGGACAAGGTTGGTGGTGGTGGTTGTGGTGGTGGTTGTGGTGGTGGTGGAGAGGGACGAGGTTGGTGGTGGTGGTTGTGGTGGTGGTTGTGGTGGTGGAGAGGGACAAGGTTGGTGGTGGTGGTTGTGGTGGTGGTGGAGAGGGACGAGGTTGGTGGTGGTGGTTGTGGTGGTGGTTGTGGTGGTGGAGAGGGACAAGGTTGGTGGTGGTGGTTGTGGTGGTGGTTGTGGTGGTGGTGGAGAGGGACGAGGTTGGTGGTGGTGGTTGTGGTGGTGGTGGTTGTGGTGGTGGTTGTGGTGGTTGTGGTGGTGGAGAGGGACAAGGTTGGTGGTGGTGGTTGTGGTGGTGGTTGTGGTTGTGGTGGTGGTGGAGAGGGACGAGGTTGGTGGTGGTGGTTGTGGTGGTGGTTGTGGTGGTTGTGGTGGTGGTGGAGAGGGACAAGGTTGGTGGTGGTGGTTGTGGTGGTGGTTGTGGTGGTTGTGGTGGTGGAGAGGGACAAGGTTGGTGGTGGTGGTTGTGGTGGTGGTGGTTGTGGTGGTGGTTGTGGTGGTCGTGGTGGAGAGGGACGAGGTTGGTGGTGGTGTTTGGAGTGGTGGTTGGGGTGGTGGTGGTGGTTGTGGTGGTGGTGGTCGTGGTGGTGGCGGAGAGGGACAAGGTTGGTGGTGGTGGTTGTGGTGGTCGTGGTCGCGTGGTGGTGGTTGGTGTAGCGGTTAGCACGCTGCGCTACGAACCCGGCCACCCGGGTTCGATTCCCGCCCACGGCGAACACCACTGACGATTATCTCCCCCCCCCCCTCCCACCCCTAGGTCGACTCAGCCTCAATTGAGTACCAGTGCAAAAAAAACCACCGACACTGGGGGAGACAAAGGCGGCCGGGGCGTAGTGTTTGACCACCCGCTGCCCCCCTCGTGTGCCGTGCCACGGCCTTCATAGGTGCTACTCGCAAACAGCATTTGCCCCAACAGTCTATTGAGGCTATAACGTGGGAAATCTTTGGCGGTGATGGTGATGATGATGACGGCGGTGACGACGCCCGCTCTCGCCTCGTACTGGCGGTGGCTGTCGGTGAGGACGGCGAGGGGCTGGAGGAGGAGGCCGAGGGAGTCGGCCACAGCAGAGGCCTCGGACTCACCCCTCGGGAGACCGCAGGACGCGACTCCCCCCGAACAGCTGGGGCCACGTGGAGCCGCACGTGGTCAGGACACGTGGAGGAGGGATGAGCGCGGTGCTGTGCTGAGCGTGGGAGATCTGCGGTTCGAGAGAGCTGGTCCTGACGACAAGAGGCTCAGGTGAGCAATGGGAGGTAGGAGAGAGATTTTCTGGGACAGAGGGTGATGTCCGTAATGGCACTCGTCTCGGGGTCATTGGGGTTATCTGGGGTCAATTACAGCTGTGGCTGCAGGGTTTTTTGGTAGTACATGTTGTTTGTTTGTCGTTTGTTGTGAAAATTCCGTCACAGTTCCTATGATCACTGTTTCATTGCTTTGTTTTGGTGATTTCGAAACGTTTACTGGTTTGGCCATGTTTGTTGTAGTACGGAGTAAGACTGACGGCCTTAATCTAAGTTGTCTTGTGGTTGTTGTTTTACTTGCATCCCACTGGGATTTTTGCACAGCGTTGGTGTGCGGTGTTTTTTATGCAATATTTTGCTGTCTTTTCTTGGATTTTCTGTTTGCACTTAGTCACATAGTCACTTTAAGATGTTTTCTTGTTCATGTTTTATTTGTTGCGGTTGCACCCGATTCAAGAGCCGAATGGCTCACAGGGCTATACCTAATAAATGAACTTGAACTTGAATTACATGGGGCTGGGTCACTCCCAGGTTCATTATGGTCGTGTCCAAGTTACGTATTGAGATGCTGGGTTCAAGATCTGGTGACTGTCTCATGGGTTAATGATGTGCAAATTGTTGTACCCGTAATTAATTTTCACGGTGATTTCCCTAAATGTGTTATGTTTTAAGAGCGCGTGTGTTAAACGTATGCTGTTTGTAAGGTTTTCAAATTCGCATGTGTTTCTCCTGCTTTGAATTGTCACGATTGTCAAAAGCAATCCAAACCTACTCTCTCGTGAGCCACTTAATTGCAGAATCTCATCTTGCCAAACGATGAAAAGTAACAGACCATCGTGATACCAATGCCTTTGAAGAAGAAAGTTTTAAATCGGTGTATACTATCCGAGCGCATATTTGCACGTGCATCTAACTTTTTTTGGCGCTGCTTCCCCTCATTCTATGTGCACAGTATAGTTTTTTTCTATTTTGTGTGCGTTTTATTTACGACCATTTAATACCTCGTTTGTTGTTGTACAATACTCCTAAGGACCCCGCACTCATTCCCCTGCAATGCCCTATGCTCACGCACCACGCATCTCCCTGGTAATAAAATAGCCGGGGAAATTGACAAAACCAGGGCTCATCCCTTCTAACAAATCAACAAAAAACGTGCTCACGACGCACAGCGCAAGAAGGGTGATCCTTTAAGCGACGACGACAAAAAAACAAAAGTGAAAACGGCAAGAAGAAGCCATGGAGAGGAGATGATGCAGCATGCTTGTATAGATTGAAAGATCAACAATGTGTTCCACTTTGTTCACTCATCTGTGTGATTTTCGAGACCGAAGTGGGGGGGTTCAAGAAATGATCTCGATCCTTAAGAAACGGTGCGTGGGCTGAAGCAGCAATCGTTTAACAGTCTTGTTTACATGCTTTTGAAATCAAATTGTTCGTGTATTCATTGAAAATATTGAGAAATCGGAGTAACACAGATTCATCATGAGATTACATTTGAATGCATACGTAAAATAATCTGGAGAAAAGTTATGGAATGCAGAGAAAATAAAGAGTTCCTGACCTAGCCACGAATGCCTCTCACTTATTTCCACAGATCAACAATCGATTGCTGATTTTCTAGTGACAAGTAACACGTGCTGTGAGTCATCGAAGGAGCAAAGCAGAGTACTTATGTTTGGGGATTAAAGTCTCAGGGTCATTGATGGATAAAGGAAAACCATACAGAGAAGTAATACAGTTGTCAGCACACAGACCTTTGATGCTCCTCATGTATACATACAATAACAGCAGTTATAACCCATCATCGCCTCAACTAAACAACCCAGAATGCACCTGAATTTCACAAATCTCGGAAGCTAACCAGGGTAGAGCGTGGACAGTGCTTGGATTGGTGAACTCCGTGCACAAACTAGTCTCCGTGAGGCTGTGGGGCTCTTTTATGGGCAGGAGAGGACAGGGGGAAAAAATCCACAGCTGGAATTCTGCTCTCACGTCCGTGCTCCCCGCCTTCACTAACCCGCACTGACCAGCATGGCGAAGTATGGTCAAATAACCTCCCACGATGTTCACAGTGCCGGGAAGCCCGCATCCAGCGATGGATCAACGAACGTGCCTGTACGTGTGCACGGCCCGTCGGTGCGCCCCCTTTACCATTCAGGACGGTGGTGACAATTGCCAAGTCGCGCCAGTACCGGGAGAAGCATGGCAAGATCTTGCTGGAGGGCACGCGACTCATTCGGGACGCGTTGGAAGCCGGTGCAGTTCTGCAGACGATATTCTTCGACAGCACAACCCAGCTGCAGGAGCTGCCCCTCGAGCTCATCGCCAGAGCTGCCCTCATCCGTGTGCGCATGAGGGACATCAGGCTGTGGTCAGACCTTGTCACCCCGCAGGGCATCCTGGGTAAGTGGAGGAACTCCGGGGGATTGGGAGCTACCCAGTACGGCAAAGTCCTCAACATGAGTGGATTAATCGGTGCGTGAAGTTCAGGGGGACTGTAACCATGGTGGTAGCTATACCAGAGTGATAAGGAGGCTCCTCACCAACGGTGCATCATCAATCAACCTTACTATGTTTAATTATGTAACTTACAACCACTGTTGACTCTCTCACACAGAGTAATATCTATTTTATGCACCTTGGAGGGATGATGGGTTGAGTCAACCCCGAACCGGAAATTTAACTCGCAACCTTCTGATTGCCATCCGCTCACTCTACCGCTGAGCCACCTGGCTGATATAAGTAAAGCTGTCTCTCGTCTGGTTATACGTTAATATTTTGTGTATGTGTGCATGCATCATTACAGCCATCTTTAGAAGACCTGACTATGCATCTGACAAGGAGCTGAGGAGTAGGGCAGAAGGCAGTGAGTGTCTTCCCATCTCGCTCGTGTGTGACAACGTCCGTGACCCTGGAAACATGGGGACCATTATCCGCTCGGCCGCTGCTGTTGGCTGCTCCAAGGTGCTTCTTATCAAGGGTAGGTTATGACCTTGGTGACCTCATACGGGCCAGTGTTCTTCATTGCAAGGCCTGCGGGCCACTGGCGGCCCCTGGTGGCCTTTAGTGTGGTCCCTGACGTGTGGCCCCTGACGCGCAACCCCCAACAATACACAAATGTGACAACATCCGCATTATCACGTTGTCAAACCCCAATGGTTTCAAATGGTGTGGCGGCCCTCGCACTGATGATGTCTTATCGGTGAAAGTGCCCCCCGCCTCCTCTTAAAATTAGTGAAGAACACTGATCTGAGCCATTGCCCGAGACCGCCTGTTGCATATATTTGTGTTGTTGACGAATGTGTTGTGTTCTCTCATAGAATTTTAGATCTCCCTAAAAAGTTTCTAGTTTTTAGTAGACTACCAACTTTTTATTTTACGAGGTAAGGCCCAATGAGCTTTTCTCTCATTTTCAGAAGCGATCTGGCCACAAATAATAGCTCAACGAAATGGCTGATAATGGGCAAATCTATTGCGGCCAAATACTCTAAACCGGAGGATCCCGGAGAAAAATCTACGCGACCACGGGGAGAACATGCAAACTCCAAATATGCAGGGTCGGGTTTGAACCCACGACCTCCTGCACACCAGGCGACGAGCCTTCTCACTCGTGCACCTTCGCTGCGACCCGTCCAGGCTGCGTCGACGTGTGGGAGCCGAAGGTGCTGCGCGCCGGGGCCGGTGCTCACTTCCGCGTGCCGCTGCTGCCCGGCCTGCGCTGGAAGGACGTGCCGGAGATCCTCGGAGTGCACGCCGTGGTGCACGTCGCTGACAACCGGCACACGTTAAGGTGAGCGGGGCTGGTTCCCAGCTAGCAAGGAGCGGATAAGAACCCTCGCCACGTCTTCATTTACACTGCCGCTCCGAACAAAAGACATGTCGAGTAGGCAACAGAAAGGGGTAAATACTGGCCCTGCTGTTAATTTTAACATTTTTAAATGCAATTTGGCCTGAAAGCTGCCCATTGGCTTCCGTGACTAATAAATACAGAATCTGAATTTTTATTTGGACTGCAAGAGGAATTCGATGAGCTATGAAGCTCTTTTTTTCACAGATGTCCAGTATGGTTGGGTCAGCAAAATACTTCTGGAGAAAATTTAATGTTCAAAAGTGTTGCGTAATCCATGCGTACTCGTGATTTTTCTTCCTTGTTTCGTTTACTTTAAATTTTTATTTCAACATGCTTAATATTTGTCATGTTAGCCTTATTACCTACTATAATCAACCAGAAATGTCTGTCCGTCACGCGCGTGACGTCACTCCACATGAGGCTACCCCCCTCATTAATAATCATGAACTGAACAATTTTTCGATTGAATATTTAAGATTTACTGCAATACACACCGGTCCTTGGACAGGCAAGAAAGCTAGTGATTTGTAACAACTTACATTTGTAATGCACCCATGTTTCCCTTGCAATAATAACTTTTCATTTGGTTCTTACTTGCATCTTAATAAAAGTTGTATTATTGAATTTAATTATGTTAACGAAGTCATGTTAATGAAATTGGTAAATTATGCCCAATGGGTTGACCTCACGGTTGTGGCTTTTGCCTCAAGAGATAAAAAGTATGAACCATGGAAATTGGTACCATCTGGAGATCTTACAAAAAAATGGCTATAAATTCACTTGGAAGCAATTTAATTCGAGTCATATTTGCCGTTATTTAACAGGCTATAAAAGCACTATTTGTAGCGGTAGTTGCTTTCATTGAGAGAGCTTCACTTAGCTTCACCACCATAATTTAGACCGTCTTCTTCTAACAGTAAGAAGTGGGCTTTATCGGTTTAACAGGTCATCTAGCTGACGAATCGTGGCCACATTTAGGTTCAACGATATAATCGATGCCGTTTAACGTTGGGGTGAGCATAGCGGCCTCTCATGGCTCATGGGACGATGTGAACCAATTTGCACACAATTCCAACTGAAGCACGTCTGTTCTCGCATGCACAATTCGAGGCGTGCATCTTACGTTTTTAAGATTCGATATTGATGAGTCTGCATAACTACACGTCCAATTGCTTGGCACTTCTGATAATGCTTTGTGCCGAAGAATACCCGTTAATTGGTTGCCCTCTCTTCTGCTGCCCGATGCGTAGTGCACTCGACGACGACGACGTACACGACATGTCTGGCGATGAAGGTTACGAAGACGACGAAGACGACGAAGACGACGAGAGAGAAAAAGAAATGTTGTTGCGCAAACTATCGTCCATGCCAGCCCACGCCTACACGCTTCCGTGGGCCGGCTCCGGCCCCGGCGGTGAAGACGGTGCATGCGAGACGGCGCTGGTCGTGAGTGGAGAAGCGCAGGGGCTGGGCTTCGAGGCCCTGCGCCTGGCCGAGGGCACGGGCGGCCGCCGCCTGCACGTGGGGATGGCCGCCGGCGTGGAGAGCCTCAATGTGGCCGTGGCGGCCAGCGTGCTGCTATTCGAGGCGCGGCGGCAGCTGACGATGCGGCGCCGCGAAACCGCGGCTCAGGGCGGCGCGGGGTCGCAAGCGAGGAGGACGCGCCGCTGACGCGCCGCCGACGCCGACGATTGCAGTCACGGCAACACGGTGCCCTTAGATGTCAACGGCTTAGATAGGCCTTTAGTCAGCAGTGGATAAAATGGCTTGAGGTGACATGGCCTTGCGCACAGGTCGGCAACCATTTTTTTATCGAAAAAGATGTCTCTTCTTGCATGTGGTGAATACGAGACCGTGGCCCTCAATAAAGAACGTCACGAAGCAGCTCCTTAAAGAGCCGTGTGCTGCTCTGGAGCCGCAGGTCGGCGACCCCTGGCCTAGCGGTAGCGCGTTCTCCGCTTGTTGCAGAGATTCGCCGTTCTAATGCAGTGGCTGCCGTGGTCGATGCCGTGGGTGTATATTAACCGTTAAACGCGCACCGTCTTCTTCACGGCGGACGATCGCGATCGCGGAACGTCGTTTTTCAAAGAGTAGACCGTTCAAGTTCTGTTCTCCAGCAGAAAATTGGCTACGTGCGATTTGAATTCACTAGTACGCGACCCCGACGTCAAACGACATTGTGTGCGTGTACCATGTGTACGTGTATGTCCCGTGTGTGTGTGTGAACTGTGTGCGTGTACCGCGCGTGTACCGCGCGTGTACCGTGTGCGTGTACCGTGTGTGTACCGTGTGCGTGAATCGTGTGCGCTACTCTGCAGGCGGCCGTCTCCCCCGTGCGCTTTCGCTTTTTTGCGCCCTTTTCTTGGAATGCATTGACTGCGGCCGCGTAAGAGCGAGGGAAACCTGTACACTGTTTGAGATTGATGACCACAGTTGCATTGGTGGATATTTTTAATTCTCCATTCGTGAGGAGATGGGCGCATCTGAAGTGCGGTTTGTCACGTGGTTCAAAACAGATTTTTATTTGCAGGGTTGCCGGGATGTTTTTTCTGATGAAGTTCTCTTTCGGGGACCTTGGAACGCGTTTGCACTGTGTGGGTTACCAACGGGAATATCATTGGTTCTGCTGGATGCATATATATACCACATTGCAGTATATAGAAATACAAAGTTTTCATATTCACTGCTTATATAACATGTTTGTGCCTTGTATTTTACGCAGAGAAATGCCAGTTACCAGAACACACTTGTCAGCATAGAGATGAATAAAAATACCTTTCAGTTACCTCCGTATCGAAAATATTGCTCTCGAATATATTGCCCAGTTATGATGTTTGATTCATTTCATACGTATGTTTTTACGACCGATATTATTGGTTTCCCTTTGACCGTGCAGGTACAATAATGCCAACTAAGAGCTGTGACCCCTCCACCACACCCGACAAAGAGAAACAAATGAAGTTGCCACGTGGGCAAATTTCCCAAGCGATTCTGTTATTCGGCAAACTGGAATGTTGGGAGAATACACCCAGCATCATCACGTGACCTCCGATCTCGAGTTGAATGCACGGACCGGTCTGGATCTTCAAGTCGATGCCAACACAATGTACCTGAATACAGTATAATGAAGAATATTCTGTTTTCTCTTTCCGTCGCTTGACGATACAGGGTGTAGCACCTTCACCCGTATGAAAACTTGGTTTATTTGGCTGTCGGGTGGTGCAAGGTGTATGGTGCATGTTGAATCGTGATTTTTGTTTTGGTTATTGAAGTAAGACGGGTGGAGTGGTGGTGCTCTGGCTTGTGCACTAAATAACGAACCCGAGTTTAACTGAACAACAGCCTGCACTGACCAGCATGATGGTGACTGGTGAGATATTCAAATGATACTTCGTTTGATGGCACGAGGCCAATTAGAAAGAGCAGGATAAACATTTTGAAATAAATTATTTTAAGGAGGGCACGTGACAGTGATCCTACTTTAAATTGTCAAATCAGTTTACCTGGGGACTCTTTTCCGATGTTGATCAAATACAATGTCCAAACACGGTTAGGTTTGTGAATAGTTTTATTAGTTGTTTTTGCAGAATACAAGATTGCCCACAGCTTGCATACAATAGGTGGCTGTTCAAGCTATATGCACACACGCACACACACACAATTCCACACGTTCACGCCAGCAATAAGCGACTTCATGACAACATAAGCAATATAATAAAGGAATAAAATCTTATCACCTGCTCAACGATCAGGTGTAGTCTGGAATAAGCCACATCAAGCGTGTACAATAATACATCAAAATGACCTGTAATCGGTAACACTATAAAGGTGGGGGCGAATTGGCTGTCTAATCGCAGTCGTTTCATTGCTACCAGGGGGGGGGGGGTCCATCGTGTTGGGGTGTCACGATGCTCGCACGATGCTATGGTGGGCCCGGGACCTGCAGACTGGATGCAGTTGCTTCTGAGTTTGTTTTTTGTTATTGTTGTTGCTGTAAGTAGAAAGAAAAAAACCAACTTCACGTCCACGCGCGTCACAGACTTTTCAAAGTGACAGCCGCACGCATGGGACGTGGGGAGTGATGATCACGGCTTGCGCTCTTGGTTTCGCACGCGTGTGAAATCGGTACCTTTTCATCCCGCGAATTACGGCTGAGATGTATTTTAGTCGGTAAAGTCACGGTGTTCGAAATAAAATAAAACGGGCGTGACTTTACCGAAATAATCAAAGAGTGTGGATTCCTGCAGTCACGAAAGCTTCAAATCAATACTTTTTGGTTATTTCGGTAAAGTCACGTAGGTATAAAACGAAATTTAAAAAAATCAAGATTATCTATTTAGCCGTTGGAAAAGTTACGATCGACAATTTTTTTTGCGTCCGAAAATATACTCCGCACCTCTTTCAAAATTGCAGGCCCCCAGCACGACGAGGTCAATGACGAGGTCCCATTTAGCCTGAGGTCCATGGCCCTCCGTCCAGCGGGAACGGAACCGGATTCCTTTCTTTCGCGAACTATGTTCGCTGTGTCCAATTCGTCGAGCAATGGAACTGATTTATCGGCGGTAGTCATCGATCGCACAGCCCAGCTCCACTGTTGACCATAGCTGTACCTACCAAAGCGATACCTACCCATCCTCCAACCTACCATACTGATACCCATCCATCTTCCTACCTCCCAAAGCGATATCTACCCATTCTCCAACCTACCACACTGATACCCACCCATCCTCCAACCTACCATAGCGATACCTACCATAGTGATAGCCATCTCACAACCTACCACACTGATACCCATCCATCCTCCAAGCCACTGTCCGCCGCCTGCTTGAGTGGTCTCGGCCGACGGCGTAACAGTAGAAAAAATTTGTCACAAACTTAAACGGGTCTGTCCTTCATGAAAGGACAGACCCAGCGTTTATATTGTCCACAGCACAGCTGTTCCACGCGTGCTATTCTTTCTGGTTGGTGACAGTACTCGCCATTTTTTGTTTACATACATTTCAAGTGTTATCATAACAGCGTTTTTCTTATTTCTTATATATTCGTGGTCATGGTCACGGCCATGAAAGGGCCTTTCCGCCAGCCATGATGTTAAGCCCATTCACTACCAGTCTTCTCAATTGTAGATTACAATTAGGTATCACAAAATGTTAAATTGTATCGACACATTTTGCCAAAGTACCAAAAGGAAAACATAATTGGGTAGACTGAAAACCACTACGTGCTATAAACTACTGGTACAGCATTTGAGTTGAGCCAATTCACGAAGCGTATCAGGCAAGCTGCCATCCTTCAGCATTCGACCTCTCTGGGACCAGACGAAGAGATTCTACCGCGTATATACACGAGCGAATCTTAGCGAGATCAATGATCACAGGGAGGAGCCGTGTGGAGACATTCGACACTTGTTGAATACGACCACTTGGCACACTTTCCAAAAGCCACTCCACGAACACAGAAAGGCAAAGAGCCTGATTGGGTTTCGCTCTGTTTTACACACAGAGCCGGTGGCTTTCACGACCAATATTATCCAAGGTAGAGGTTTTCTGGGTTAGATAGGGTAGATATAAATGTGTCGTTAAACCCCGCCACCACATGACACGCGTGAATTTACTCTCCAACACACCGGTGTGCTGAACTAGTAACGAATTGGCACGTTTTGTTTACGTGACGAACCTTAACAAATTGGCTGTGTCGGGTGGTGGAGGGTTTAACGACACATTTATATTTACGCGATCTAACCCCCCCAAAAAAACGTCTTATGGGTTTTCTCTGTCCATAGACGTGGCTTGTGCCATGGTATCGTGGATACCCTTGGCAAATTATCCTCACCCCCGCCACGAACGCGATGTTGGTCGGTGTTGGTGGAGTGGATTTGTACTCCGCCTATTTCACAGAGCACACTGGCTTCCGAAAATAGTTTTCCGTTGACAGACTTTTCTCCACAACCGGAATCCGTTATGGTTATGAATCAGCCCGCAAAATGTTTGAAGAAAAACAATCAACTCTTTTATCAACCTGGCAATGCGACTGGCAGCATAAAATGAATGTAGACACATTCTACGATCATGCACTGGTTGGGATTTAAAATGACTATCAGCCATAACAAAATAACAAAAGTTTAAACGAAACAAAATGCACTTGCCTCTCCTCTTAATTCTGTACATATTCATGTTTTGGACATGACCATCGAATTAGACCAATGTAAAATATTAAGGTAAGAAAATATTCCTTTTCCTTCCCTCATTCGTCAAAAAAATAACCTTTCACTGCCCCGGTATTTAAGCATTGTTGAATAGTTGCATATGAACTTCCAAGGTATTTGTTTTCATTAAAAATGGAATGCTTTACCGGTGAGACGGACAGTAATTTGAAGGGCTTATAATGTGAGCATTCATTGCTAAATATTGCCATTGTTTGGGGGTATCTTTCATGCATGTTGAAGCATGTTGGATATCACTTAAATGACCGAATGTGCCTTTTATTGCTTTCCATAATGTGACATCAAGTAGGGCGTGTGAGGCGCTTGGAATTAGCAGTGCCGATCCATATTCAAGTAGCCTTCGTTACTCAGTCCATTATTTAATGGACAGAAGCATCGGCGCATCACTGTTTTGGGATCCGCGAAAACAATTTTTCACTGTTGAGTATATTTAAATAATTGTGTGTACGTGCCCTATTATCGCGTAGAAATAAATTGCTTACGACAATCATTGGGAACAAATTGGTGACCGATGTTTGAGGCCAGTTCAGTACAGATGGCTCTACCATCAACTATTTATACATACACACAGTAAAACATTTTTAAGTTTGGACTTGGTGAAGCCAGATTTGCGGTCGTGCCAAGAAAGCATCCCAAAAAAAATTAACCCGTAAAAACAAAGTTTTTCACTATAAATCCTTTATATGCGTGGCATCGGGGCGGCTAGAGTCCTCTCGTCCTCTGGCTTGAGATGGCTGCCACCTATGGGTCAGATGATTGTGTACCAGCATTAACCAATTGGTAAAGAAATATTTTTTTTTCCCTAAACAGTGTAAAATTTTGGAACAAAAAATTTCCACGAAAATTCATTGTCACGCACAACGAGTCTGTGTGCAAAATGTCAGCTCGATTGGATCACGGGAAGTGGGTTAAAAAACGACCGGAAGATTTGCACGGTCCTAAGCACGCAAGCAAGCAAACTTAATATAAAGGATTTAATAAACACTGCTCACATGCTCATCAAGCTGTGCCTGAAAGGATTCGGGGATCCGTGATCATCCCACGTGACGTCAAATGGCACGGGTTCACTGAATCTATCAGTCTACCACATCGCCTGGACATGAACTTTGTTAGTGAAGAAAAAATATATATTGTATGCACTGTTAAATATATTTCACTTATTATCAAAACGCATTTATTTCAGTATTTTTGGTGATTAAATGGACTCTGTGGGGATGAGTGACATGTTATTAATTAGTAAATATTTTGTTAACAGGTATTAAGTGTTAACAACATTAAACTATTAGGTGGCAATTACATGCACATTTGGTTATATACTTAAAATTTTGTGGACCGAAAAACTCCCAATTCACCAAATAAAGGCTTTCCCTTCAGCTGCCAAATGTGTCACTGCAATATCGAACGGTTTATGGAAAAGAACCAACTCATTAAATACCATGATGCGTAACTTTTGTTGAATATGAAGAGACACTTGACTGTGGAAATTGATGCAGTAATCTAAACCATTACAACATGTACTGATTGAAGTATGTAAACATACATTAAGGTGCGTAAAACAAACAGCAAGTACAAAAAGCCGAGAACAAATAGTGAACATAATTTTTGTTTGTTCCATTAACACCGAATATTGAAGATATTCTAATTTAAAATATTCGTTCTGTTCGTGGAACAAAACCTTTAAAATATATCCCATAGAACAATCATTGAAGGTGCACGGGGGATCAAACAGAGGCGAACGAGAATGGGAAAATTTAATGAGAGAATGAGAATGAATGAGAGAACGAGAGGAAAACGTGAATGGGTTGGCGCACTTTGTTGGAGAGCTAAACTTGAACGAAAAGCTACCGTACCAATGCGGCGAAACGTACAACACCGCGCGCGGATCGATGCAGATCGACGCATCGTCACTCCGCTATTGAATTTGAGCACTACCCAGTCGGGAGATTTTTTGGGGGTTTTTTTTTCTTCCTACACGATGACACGGGCTCGCCGTTCCATGCGACGAGTCAAAGACCGAGCGTCGGTTGCGTTTAAAACACTCTCTTGACGATCCCAGCATTTGTCTTGGCGATATTTTAGTGTTAATATATCCCACGTGAATTGTATATGCCCCGTTCGAAAACGTTCAAATCAAATGAACTGTCAAGATACATTCAATACTGTACAAATGTCACGAAAACGATCGGCTTGTACTATTCAAGTTTGTAAGTCAACAGCAGAGTACTCTAAAACGGATTTTTTATTTCACTATCTCACGCGGAGGAAGCCTCCCTAAGCACTACACACGCGCACGCACACACGATAACCCGCATTTCTATTTCTCTACGAGCCAAAACGTGGAGGCGCTTGGACTGTTGATGGAAGTTGTCTTGGCAGCTACGGTCACACCATCGTTTACAATAGTAGAGCAAACGAACAAAAAAAAGGTCGACGTTACAGGCACTGCAAGATCCACTTGGGAATACGTAACTGTTGACTGGCTTAAGAGTTCTATTACAAAAACCAGGAAGGGTAAATTACACTGTACAGTCAACTGCAGCTTAGGTAGTATGTTAGACTCAAAATACAGGACCATCTCCACGTGCCAAAAGAAATACCTAACCTTAAAACAAATCTAAGAATTGTTTTCTCATTTTCCAAGAACGGCAGGGGGAAAAAAACATTGGATTGCACACACAGAACCTATATCTATACTAGTTATGTGGGTGCGTGTGTGATTTATCTCTCGGAATGAAACAGAGAATCTATTCTGTGCTGTTACCCACATTGATGTGGCATGTATACTCCCATTTTCCACTGGCGCAACTGAGCCGGGTCAGCGTGGAGGTAGGTTTGTGTTCCAATTGTTGTTCATGGTGCCGAGTCAGATCCAAACTGTTGTTGGCTGGTCCAACAAGACATCCGAATCGTGAGTCTGGGCCAAGCGGGGCCAGATCAATAATTTTCTTCGCACGTTGCATCAGTCCGTACACTGGAACGTGTGATATCAGCAGCAGTCGTAATAGTTTTTTGTTTTGTTTGGGTTAGATCATGTAAATATAAATGTGTCATTAAACCCTCCACCACCCGACACAGCCAATTAGTAAGGTTTGTCACGTTTGCAAAACGTGCCAATTCGTTACTGGTTTAGCACACCGGTGTGTTGGAGAGGAAAGAATTGTAAATGTGTTGGGTTTACTCTCCAACACACCGGTGTGCTGAACCAGTAACGAATTGGTACGCTTTGCAAACGTGACAAACCTTACTAATTGGCTGTGTCGGGTGGTGGCAGGATTAACGACACATTTTTACTTACTCATGCCCACACCAGACTGGCTTGGCACGAACGTTGTGCAGATCGGTTGTGAAGTGGAAACAAAGTATAGGAGTGCTACAGGTTTGCGCCTCGGTGGTTCTAAAGTTATCCCCACTCAACCAACACGAAAGATGACATTTACCTGATATCCACTGCACGGATTTCATCACAAACCCACGTAAATAGATGCCAGCATGTGACCTTTTGTCCCGCACACGATCAGTGTGTGCAACCACAGACAAGCATGCAAAATTGGTCTCCTCTACGCCACACATTGAACAATTAGTGCAGATAATCAACGTCAAACCACACCGGTCACAATCAAGGTCATTTACCCTTAGTCGACAAACATACTTAACAGGCCACAGCCATGAACGTGCTCTGGTCGCCTGTCCTATCTCCAGCGCCGCGTCTGCGGCAGAGCTGCAGGGACTCCTTCACAGGCATCGGTCTTCCCCACGATTGCGTGGCGTCTCCTTCGCGAGACGGAGGGTGCGTTGCAGGACCAGCTGAGCGTAGGTCGCCTCCGCCGCCATTCTCGAAACGAAAGTCCTCTGACATGGAGCTGTCCCAACCGCGTGCTTTCACTTTGGCTTTGGCCCCGGCTGGTTTGTACGGCGCTAGCACGTCGCCGCCGTTACCCGCGCGACTGCATTTGTGTCGAGTCGTCGTTGTCGTATCGGGCAGGCTGCGCCCTTTTTCTTCACAGTTCATATCCGTGCTGCTTCCGCCAGTGTCACGGTTGTCAACTTCAGCTTGCCCGGGAGCTGCCTGGACTTGATAAAGGCCGCCACGATCTGCTGCTGCATTATGAGCCTGCGTGGCACTGGGCGCGACGAGGCTACAGCTGAGCGGCTTCGGCTCATCTCTCTCATCCGCCGACATAGATGCCTCGGTGTCTCCAACCGGATCAGCCAGGGACCAGTTTGAACAGCCGACCGCAATGCCCGATTCGTCAGCTGTGACCGTATTGCTGCTTGCGATTGCACCGCCAGGACTTGCGTACATATCGTTCTGGCCATTGGTACCGATCTCGGGTTTAATTTCACCGCTCATCTCACCGTCGGAATCGACGACACGAGCACTGCACAAAAAGCGGTCGGAAACACCTGCGATGCAGGGACGATGACCCTCTGCTCCGTCGCCGGCATTGTTCCAGCCGGCCACTCCGGTCGCACGCGCACGGGGGCGGACGTCGCGACCCGAGGCACCTGCGCCGTTGGCATCATCGCCGATCCTCGCGGGGAACTCCATCCCTCGCTGCGGCTCGCCGACCCACAACGGAGAGCGCAGCGCCAGACACGTGCGCTCCGTCAAGGAGTCCTCGCGGTTCTCCGGCCCAAACTCCGAGCCGTTACCCTGACGCGCTTCCCCGCCTCCTCCTCCGCCGCCGCCGTCGCACGGATCCCTGGCGCAGTCCCCTTCGCCGTTGCGGCCGTCCGAGTCCCCGTGCGTCCCTCCGCCGGCCCCGCCGCCCGCTCCGCCGTTGCCGTCGTTGCTGCCCCCACCGCCGCTGTCCCCTCCACCTCCTCCTCCACCTCCTCCACCTCCTCCTCCTCCTCCTCCCTCCCCGCCGCCTTGGCCATTACCACCATCGTCTTCACTGCCACCGCCGCCAGGTGGGACGGCCCGGTCTCTCTCTCCGTCGGCTCCCCCCGTGTCCTCCTGCGGGTTGGAGCAGCAGCGCAGAGTTCAATAGTACAATAGTAATCACATTCGTGTTCATCTGAGAAAGCCTTGATGCCCGGAGAAAAGCCACTAAACATACTGTCCCAGTGGTCGGCAACCCAAACTAACAAGAGACAATGATTTCGAATTCGGTAGAAAAAACAACAACTCAATATTGCAAGAGCCACAATGCAAGTGGTGAATACGAGACGGTGGTCCTTAATAAATAACATCACGAAGCAGTTCTTGAAGAGCCGCATGTGGCCCTGGAGCTGTAGGTCACCGGCCCCTGGTCTGGGAGATGACGGAGGGTTTAGAGGGATCGATTCACAACCACGAATGTGAGTCGTGGATGAAATGCGCCTTGCAAATGTGAATTTTTATTATATTACATGGTGATACTATGATGTATTGTACATTTATACGGTCTATGATCGCACGCTGTTCCATTTCTGAGCTTCAAGAGATAAAAAATAAATTTCACAGAGGTACTATCCTGTACCAAAAAACACTTTTATAGATGTGATTAAGTACATATATGCATGCATTTTATGCTCGGGGCACTGTATATTGAAACAATGGTGCAAGTATCTTAAATCTCTCCCCACCCCGCCGCCCGCCTCTGTCATATCAACCGAATTAAATGGGTTCACCACAGTCGATCGGCAGGTCGTGTCTGGTGGGGTAAAGTGTGAACACTCTCTTCTAGTGGAGGCCCTTCCATGAGCAGTGGCGCATGAGCAAGTAACCGCAGGGTGGCACCTTTACCGTTAGCTTTCACGAGTTCCAATATAACTGTATCATTTTAGTAAATAAAAATACAGTTAAGTCACGATCATCAATGCAAATTTTTTACTAATTTCGAGGATCAATTTGTCAATTTGACAAAAAAATAATTTGAGGGTTAGCGCACTGCGTTATAGACCTGGCGCACGGCTAACATCAGTGGCGAGCGATATGTGAACCGCTCCTGAGCACCTCCATCCTGACACTGGTTTGATGAAGGGCTCTCGATTTAGAACGAACATTGTAATTATTTTTTTGCCATTTGGTGAATCAGAAAACCGTAATTTTCGCCTTTACAAATGCATTATTCACAATACAGGACAAACGAGGATAATGTTGTTTTGTTATTTTTTTTTGTGCACGACTGCCAACTTAGCATTCATAAGTCATCTTAGTCTGGCTCTTTTATTGTACTAACTTGCATGTGTGTGTGGACATATATTGTGGGGGTTGGAATTGTAATGGTTCGCGTGCTGCGCTACGAACCGTCAACCCGAGGTTGATTCCTGGTCACGGCTAACACGAGTGATGATTATCTGCACTGGACATGGGCCTCCCCCAGGTTGACTCAGCCTCAAATGAATACTTGGTGTGGTGTATAATTGACTAGATGCTTGCTAAGAGCACTTGCCCCAAAAGTCTGTTATGGCTTTCATAATAATGCTATACTGGGAGATCTTTGCCTTGTACGTTTGCCGATTGCTAATGTTGGCATACACATATGAGAAATCTAAACAAAATTACATTATTTTTCAACCCTTTGTCAATCCACTGCTGGAAGAGCAGCCCCTCCCTATGCCGTTGTCATCAATTCGTCTTCACTTTGTTTTGTAAATCCACCACCGTCCCTCCTGTGAAGTTTTCCTGACTTGGTTGGGAAGTTGGGACCTGGGTCTGGGATGTGACCTAACAGACTCATTTCTCTGTTGTTCTTAACTTAATTTGTTTTTTGTTCTTTTTGTTTTGGTGTCATTACTTAATTTGTCTACTAATTTTTTTTATTTTGCTTGGGTAGTAGGATTTTCATTTGCTTTGGCAGTGGCTGTATATGCGATTTGATCCCTCTCCATAATGAATGTACAGCGTTATGTGATGCTATTATCACGAATGACGCTGTTTAAAATTAAAGTATCATTATAAGATATATTTATTCTCCCATTCCCGCCCCCGAATCTTCATCCCTGTATGACAATACGATCCGGGGAAAACGATCGGACGGCAATGCAGATGGCGCAGCCCGTTGGTGTCGCGTGTGCCGTGTCCCTTGTCACACGCAGTGGTGTAGCTAGGATATTTTGCGCCTGGGGACGAACTATAAAATTGGTGCCCCCCCCCCCCCCGTTTAATCACATACCAAAATGTAATTACATGGCATGTAGGCTGTGTGTGGCAGGATAAATAAACTTTTAGGTTGAAGTGTAGATTTGTGCAGTAGTTTCAGGCTGCCGCACCCGCCACAATAAGTTATAATGTAACATAAGCCTAATTTTGGCGCCCCTTTACCTTGGCGCCCGGGGACATATGTATCCCCCTGCCCCCCCCTAGCTACGCCTCTGGTTACACGTCCCGTGTCACGTCCCCCGTGTGCCATGGCACATGTCCCGCGTCATGTGTCCCGTGTGCCGCCGCCACCGCCACCTGCATGACGTCGCGCGCGTCTCTCAGGAAGACGACGAGAACCGTGATGTTGTCGCTGGAGCCGGCGTCGCGCGCCGAAGCCACCAGCCGGTGCGCCAGCATGGCGGGGTCCCCGTCGTTCTCGCGCAGGTGCTCGCCCACGATGCGCGCCGCCTCGTCGGGCTGCACCGTGTCGTAGAAGCCGTCGCACGCCAGCAGCAGGTAGTCCTCGCTGCCGTCCAGCGGGAACGTGGCGCAGTCGGCGTCGCACGACACGTACGGCTTGTGCTCCATGTCGCCTGCGGCGGTGCCGGGGACGCGGGTGGAGACACGAGGCGTATGGGTGGGTGGCTTGCGCCATGTGCTGTGCGACGCCAGGCCAGGTGAACAACACGTGTGCGCGTGTGTGTGTGTGCGTGTGAATTGAATGTGCGGGGAGCGGTAGTGCAGCAGTTAGCGCGCTACTCTACGGACCCATGAACGCGAGTTCGATTCCCGGTCACGGCCAACACCAGTGATGATTATCTGAATCGGTCCTGGGCCTCCAACTAGGTCGACTCAGCCTCAAATGAGTGGCTGGTGCAGTGTGTAGTAAACATCGCCACTGGGGAGATAAAGGTGGCCGGGCATGGTGCTGGCCACCCACCCTCTCGCGTGCCGTGCCGGCCTTCAAAAGTCTTCGCTAACAGCGCTTGTTCTAACAGTCTATCAAGTCGATACGGGGGATCTTTGTGTTGATTTTTTTTATTGAATGTGTTATATTTTTTTGATTAGTTTCGTTTCCCCAACCTTTAACCCCAATGGGGTCAGGTTATCAGACCAAGAATCCACTTGGAACTTTCGCCTGGTAGTGTAACCCTTTTTGTCAGAGAATGGTCCACATGGAAACGGATATTTGAAATCCCTTCAAGTGACGACCTTTCCAACAAGTCCTGACGCTGACAGTAATGCTCGTCTCTTGGACAAAATCAACAGATCCACAATCAATCAGACTCTGTCTTTCCGACAGACCTGTTCTTCACCTGAGGACGGCTGCTTGCGTTGTGGCCGAAACGTCGTGAGAATTGTATTTTATAATGTTTTATTTTTATTATTTTATTATTTCCCTTCTACGTGACTTTACCGAAAGAACCAAGAAGAAAAATCAACAGATTTTTTATGTATTTCTCAGAGCTGGAATTTAGCTAAATAAAGCATAATGTGCCGTTAGTTTTGTGTGCAGACATTGGTGACTGGACTGAGACAAATCAAGTCCCTAACCTTGGTTACCTGAATTCAAATCAAGGATGTCGGCGGTGCCTGCTCAGCGCTCCAACATTTGAGCCACCCGCGACCACCTCAAACAATCGATATGCTGAACTAGGTGACCACGTGACCCACCGATTGCCCTCGACACGGACAGCGTCCCGTTCACCCTCCAGGCTCCAAACCAAATGACGCAGCCTCCCAGAGCCTCTATCCTCTTCTTCTCATCCTGCAGCATTCGGGCACACACGCACACACGCACGCACCACCACCACCACGTCAAAACATCATGTTTCACCACAAAGTCACACCGCCACATCATCGTACTGCGAGCACTCCACCAGGGTTCTCGTTCAGGCTGTACACCACCCTTCATAGCACAAAAACTAGAACACCTACATTTTCATACCCGTATTGTTGTACAGTGAAATTTCTTTTCAGGTCCATACAGCGTACAGCCGTTTCAATACGGGCAAAAAAAGGTCTGTTTGTTTGTGTTTCTCAATTGTGATGGGACATTGTGGAATGAACTTTGAGATTTATAAAGGCACGGGGTGACCGATACGGTCTGAATTGGTCTGTAATGAGGTTGGCACTGATAAGGGGTCGATAGCTATGCGTTTTGAATTTGGATTTCTCAAAAAAATTACAACCCAGAGGTTGCTTAGATTCGCTCAAAGAGTTGAGTCAAATATTCATAGCTGAGTCTCATGTTAAAACACAATCTTCATCATTCGTGAACCGTGTATACTTTAACTCCTGTGGGTGTGACACTGAAGCCGATGCTAAGCCAGAAACGCTCTTTCCCGTTACCACCAGTGTATACAACAGAAGACAAAAATTTCGATTTAAAGCTTTCGTGACTGCAGGGATTCATCTTCTTGGTTCTTTCGGTAAAGTCACGTAGAAGGGAAGTAACAAAATAACAAAAACAAAACATAATAAAATAAAATAATTCTCAAGACGTTTCGGCTACAACGCAAGCAGCCGTCTTCACCTGAAGACGGCTGCTTGCGTTGTAGCCGAAACGTCGTGAGAATTATTTTATTTTAAGAAGACAACAAGTGAGTGAGGTCACCTCGCGGTCGGGCTTGTGCGGAGACATGAGCTCCACGGGGCTGCCCTTCCTCACGAGGATCACCTGCGAGTCTCCGAGCCACGCCACGTGCAGTTCGTTGCCCCGGATCAGGGTCACCACGCCCGTAGAGCCGCAGCGCCAGTTCTGACGGGAGCGCCGCAAGCCAGGATGTTTCGTGACACTTTTTTACCGATTGGCCGTGTCGGGTGGTGGAGGGCTACGACACATTTATAAATAACGCGATCTAAACCCAAAAACGTTGATTATGAATAATATTGGTCGCGAAAGCCTGCCACGTGTTAAACAGGATGTTTCTGTTTGCGCGTCGTCGCTTTAAGAAGTTCTCTGTTCATATTTTGCTTGTTGCGGTTGTTACCCGACTCAAGAGCCGCATGGCTCACAGGGCTATGCCTGATAAATGAAACTTTGAGGGCACGGGGCGCGTGCCGAGTGTCACAACGACTCACGAGCGGAAATCGGGCACGCAACTCGAGGGTGGTGGGGGGGTCTGCAGGGCACAATTTGCGCGCGCGAGCTAAAAAATAAGTGGTCCCGCGACCATCAAAAATTTTTGGCTAAAAAATTGGTCGCGTTTCCAGAGCTGACGAAAAGGCTTTTGTTTAAAGCCCCAGATTATCCCCCCTTCCATCTCAGGCCCCCTCGGCCTCTTCAGAGGGTTCCTGTCATGCCCCCCCCCCCTCTGACTTTCCACAAATTAAACCAATCATCATCCACCAGAGATGGATGAAGATGGGTTTAGTCAACCTCTGAATTGATTATTCCTGGTCTATTAACGTGATGCCTTGTTCACGGAAACCCTGCAGCCACTATAGACTCTGCACGACCTGAGATGGTGAGAAAAATCAGATTCTGACTGACCATAACCACATTTCAAGACCATTCACTGAACCGTGGAAGGGGGTGAATAGCTGACCAGTTGATTCAGCATGTTACATCTGATGAATGTCAATTACACTCCAATAATCCTAGTCGTCATCATACTTTATAGTTATCTCAATTCTAGCTTTTACTACTGTGTGTAATTTCTGTTTGCTTTCACAAAAAAAATTCGTAGATTTTAATGTAAAATACAATCCCGTTACATTACTGTCCTGTACATTACGGATTGCAAAATATTGGTGGAGTTGTAGCGCATTGGTTTGTGTACTGCACTATGACATCGTGGACCCGAGTTCGATTCCCGGCCACGGTGCCGAGTGAAATCTGAATTGACTCTGCGCCCCAAACCCACGCTGACCTGAAGAAAGGTCAAATGACTCCAATTACTGACACGACATGGAAAGGCGTTTTTGTTGCCAAAGGGCTGTAAATAACGGGATGTTCTTAGATAAATAATTCCATTGTCTTTTTTGTTTTTAAATGTAGTTTTAGCCGTGCGGTTGAAACGTTGGCAACATATTCCTCGATGAGCAATCGTCAACAGCAGGTGACAGAATCACTCTGAACAATCACGGCCGAGATGTTGGGAACAACACTTGGGACACTCAAGTAGCGACGCGACGTGGCTTGCCAACGCCGCAGCGAACAGGTGGAGGGATTATTTTAATCAAACAATTCACAGCCCTATGCCCATCTACTGCTGGATGAAGGCCACGTCAGTCACGGTGGTTGTTTGACCATACTTCACCACGCTGCTCAGTGCGGGTTTAGTGAAGTGGGACCAAGGAATAGTTTCTGATGTCACTGGACACTGACGCTGGGCCGTGGCCAGAAATGTGACTCAGGCCACTGGATTCACAGCAAAGTGCGCCAAGCATTGCGCCGCCGCTGGTGGTTTAGACACCATCAAAATCAGAGGTGGGGAACATTTACCGACGACCGATTATGACGTTCCAATGCTTGGTGTGCCACATGTTAACACACCTCAATGCAAACGCCTCTCGCACAGACGAATGATATAAACCCAGTGTTGTCAGGATGAAAATACCCACTTCTAGTATCAGATTAGTGCGGCTAAGATGGAGTGTGGGTCATTTAAAAATTACAAGGCCTCGTATGGCTAAAAATTGCCACCTCTGAGGTACAAAAATCCAGGCAATATAGCATGGAAAGAAGGCTGCCTCACAATACCAGCAGAGGGCAGAGCTACCCATAAATGTATTGTCTTGAGTGGCGTATGATCCTGCAACTGACAAAAATCAGGGCTTTTAATGTCCTGTGAAGGCTTGAGAATTTTTCAGGACAGCTATGTGAACAAAAAATTGGCAACTAAAATTGTGAACAATACTCACCACTGAAAAACCACACTGGCTATTGTGAACCACCTTAGTAAATTGCGAGCCACATTGACCAATTTCAAACCACACTGGCCCTTGTGAACCACACTGGCCAAATACGAACCACCACTGGCCATCGTGAAGCACAATGGCCAATTTCAACCCATACTGGCCATTGTGAACCACAATGGTCAATTTCGAATCACAGTAGCCATTTGCGAATCATACCGGCGATTGCAAACTACACTGGCCATTGTGGACCACACTGGCGATTGCGAACTACACTGGCCAATTCTGAATTCTGAACCACATTGGCCATTGTGAACCACCACTGTTCTCTTGTGAACAACACCAGGAAGAGGTGGTCACTCCATTGTGACCCCAGAGCCGCATAAAACGAAGCCACGGCCCAGCCGTGTATGTCCCCCACGTGCTGCTCGACCGCGTCTTGCATCTCCAGATGCCGCAGCGGCGTCCCGCTCCTCCAACTGCACACACCTCCTGGCGAGCCTTGAGCACGAAGCGCTGGTCCGTCTGGCAGAACGCCCGGCGCAGTGCCTCCAGGGGGTCGCGGCGGAATGAGCCCTCGCGTGCCAGGCTCACGTGCAGGTGCGTTGCCGCATAGATGGCGGCGTCGACGCCTCCGTGGCCGTCGAATATCGCAAAGTACGCCTGGTCGTCCTCCTCCTCCTGCAACATACGGCCCGGTGCGTGGCGCGGGTGAGCGGGCGGACGCCTTCGCGTGAGGAAGCGGAGTGCGTGAAGGCCAACCAAATCAATGTCCGGGAGGCTCTCAACATGGGACACGTGGTGAGCTGATGGCGCCTTCCCGCTGCCATTCCACTTTAAAGAGCAACATGCACTCAATCAGTAGCCCGTCCCACACATAGAGAAGCAGGCCTCCTCCATTCTCTCTGATGTTCGCCCTGCCTACTCATCATCCAATCCCGGCCCATTACCAATAACAATCCCCGCCATTTGCTACTAAGTGACAGTGACCTTACCACGGTCCTGTGTCAGGCCAGGTGCACTTTAAGGCCATGTGAAGTGTCAAAGGCTCGCTGACAGGAGGTCAAGGGACAGACCCAGGTGCCATGGGTTGACTGACTGGACTGTGACAACTTGCTGCGTTTTAGCCGCCCGGCGCTCAGCTCGTTGTTGTGAGCGTCACTCCACTGCCCTCCGTTTTTGCTGGAGGGTGACTGCCTCCAACTGCCCAGTAGCGTCCTTCACGAGCCTCCTTCATAGAGACTGATCTTGACACCCCTGGTACAAGTCCACTCAGCTCCACATCCTTCCGTACCGCATGAGTCCATCTCTTCTCCAGCCCGTGTCGTACACGTTAAGTTAAGCCCCCTCTATGCGGCCAAACAGAAGCTGCTTGAGCATGTGGTGGCTGGGCATGTGGGCTACATGACCCTGCCCACTACTCAGGTAGCCCCAGCCATTGCCCATGTCGAGTGAGGCCAGAAAAAAATGAAATGCCTCAATATTTGTGCTTTTAAAATACTTTAAGACACATGAATATTGGTGGTCATAAAGGGCCTTGTGAACAGTCCACATTTACATGACAGGGGTCATAGTCTCTACAGGGGTGGCCACTGCCTTCGGACCTGTACTCAGCAATTGTTTGTTAAAAAAAAGTATCAAAAGCCACGACCAAGTAAAACCCCCTGACTGCACCTCGCTGGTGAAGAGGGCGTTGAGGTCCTGGAAGATGACATGGCGGTCCTCCATCTTGCGCCGCGTGTTCTTGATGGCGTGCAGCGAGATCTGGAAGCTGCGGCGCTGGCGAGACAGCGCGGGCGGCTCCTTCTGCCACGCCACGCACACCTCGCGCAGCTTGGCGAACACCAGGCGCGCCAGCTTCACCGAGTCGTACACTGAGGGGGTGTTCGGAAAGAGAGGGGGGGTGGGAAACCTTACAGCGGACCGAATAGGAACTTCCAATACCTTTGGCGGTAAACCACACAGTAGTCGACACGAAACTTTAATCACCATGTGTTCAACTACTTGACAGACAACAGGTGACCGAATGCAGTGGTGTGGCCAGGTCCAAAATACTCCCCTCTAGCAATCGATTAGTGCAGCTAACGTGAATTAATGGATTAACAAAAAATAAAAAACGTAAGTGTGCCAGCTATTATGAAGTGGAGCTAAATCTTGTAACAGTTCTATAGTCTTGCCCGCACGTCAACCACCCCTCCACGCCCGCTTTCTAAAGTTAGATGATTTTTTTCTTGAAAGTTATACATTAATTAATTAGAGTTCTTAAAATTCAAGGACAGTACCATTTTCTGACTGCTCCCAGTGATTTGGCGAGGCAATGTTTAACTATTTTTGTACATCAATGCTGTCCATGACCCTTATAATATCTGGCACATATAAAATAAGTCTCTAAGTTCAACATTAACACTACCTTACAAGATAAAATCAATAAATATGGCATTGTGAGGTGACTCGGTCGCCTCCATTATGAGGGCACAAACTGCTGACAACATTCAATGGCGATCAAAACAGGTCGCAAGTGTTTCAAACGCAACATTGATCCGTCTGGAGGAAGCTGCCGTGGCGTAATGGTTATGAACGTGGACTCGCAATTTAGAGGTCACTGGTTTGACCGTGCAGCAGAGTAGCTGCAACATTGGGTAAGGCTGCTTCAATCCCACCCGTTTCTCACCAGCCAGCACGTTACCCGACCACAGTTTGCATGCTGTGGGGTAAAGTGTGGGTAATCCCACCGCTTCCAAAAGGTGCAGGTCTGCGTGGAAGAGTAGGCCAAAATTATCATAAAATTAGGCCCTTTTCTGCCAGCAATGGGGGTAAAGGTGTAGGGTTGCACCTTTACACTTTTCATTGATCTGCAATTGCGCGTCGGTGGTGGGTGGATCAAGTGCTGTTTTATATAAACGATGAAAGAGATGCCTTACCTTTTTCCATTTTTTTCCATTACCCACAGTGTGCTGAGACAGCGCATAAATAATTTGGGCATCTTTGCTGATGCGTGTAGACAAGGTCACATGAACAGCGCTTCTGGCAAATGGAATGGCTCCATTATTCAAATAGCCATGAAATTGAGTCAAATGCAGAACGTGACATTGTAAACATAATTTAGAATCTTCTCTCTCTGGTTTTGGAATGGAATGTTCATTAAATGTTAAGTATGAGATAAGAATGGTTTGATGTTACAAATTCAAGCAATGTCCCAGTTTATTAATACGTTCCTGTATGACAGAAGCATGCTTGAAATGACGCCTGAGACTAAAAGAGGAAACATGTGGATGGGAAAATAAATGCTCATAAAGGCGTCACATTAACTGTTAAGAAAAATAAGCAGGCTTGGGGGGAGGACACGTCACTAGGAGGGACAATCGGCGGTGTTTTATAATAATTAGAATCAGAATATTGATTTATACTGGAGGAATCCGATGAGTTATAAAGCTTTTTTTTCCACAGATTTACAAATCGGGAAAGCGGCAGCCAAGGGAGAGACGGCGCCCAGGAGGACATCTGCCGCAGAAACTGAGCGACACATTTGCTCACGTGCAGTGCTTCGTGGATTGTTACGCTGCAGGACCGATACCAACCCTGACGCCTGTTGTATATTTTGGGGTTTGTGTGTTCTCCCCGTAGTTGTGTGGATTTTTTAAATCCGAGTCCTTCGGTTTTCTCCTCCACATTTAGAAACGTGCGTTTAGATTATCCGGCTGCTGTAAATTTCCACATGATACGGCAGTTCATTGAGCTGTCATTTGTGGCCAGGTCGCTACTGAAAAATAAGTAATAGCTCAGCGGTCCTTACCTGGTCAAATAAATGTAAATATATTTTAGCGATGTGTTTACCTTTCCTATACTTTGCACCCCTATCGTGTTTTGTACTGTTTGTTGTTGTAACTTTCTGACCCACCCTTACTGGACATCTGTGAAAAATAGCTTTATAACTCATCGGATTCCTTCAGTATGAATGAAGATTCAAATTTTGAGACGACAATGGCTTGGCGAAGATATCATCCAGCAGTTTAAACATGGCATGTAGAACCTGGCAATACAAAACTTGAGATAAGAAGTGCAATCTACGATTTTGTGAAACTCCCGTATCAGACCGGTTTGTGAGGTAGCCAGGAGATGGCAGTACTGCACGTGTGTTTGTGAACCCATCCGTGTGCCGATACATTATCCTCTCGTACTGCGGTCAACACCCTGCGGCTCTGTAAGGAGCTGCTTCGTGACCGTTATTTATTAAGGAGCCGACCGTCTCGTATTCACCGCAGTGCATTGCGTCTCTTGAAAAATATTTTTTTGACCGAATTCGAAAAAAAATGTCTCTTCTTGTTATTTGGGTTGCCGACCCCTGGGATAGTATTTTCTGGAAATCAAGGCTTTCTTTGATTACTATTGTACCAAGTGGCGGTGCTGGGCATAATCAAACGAAACAAAAGCTGAGGCCTCTAAGCAGCTCAGCAGCCCTGATTCATGAAAAATATATGGGTGTCTTAAATATCAGCTCAAATTCAAATCCTCATAAACACAGCATGCCAACTTACATATGAAATTAATGTCGCTCTTCTCTCGTATGCGCATCTCTTTGATCGTCTCACGGAAACTGCATTTGTCGACATTCCATTTATCTCCCTAAGTATTTATCTCTTGTCTGTATCTCCTCCGTTATCTCATGAATATCTGACTCATTGAAAGGGGGAGTGGGGGGATGGGTCGGGCACCCAAAATATCTTATGCTTTGCCCTCCCCCAATTGTGCCCAGTAAACATCTTAACGGCTCAGTCAGGAGTTGCTGGATAAATAGATCACATCATTGATATGGTTATGGAAATGATAGCGATGTAAATTAACATGCGAGGCCAAGAGGCAGACCTCGATGCAGGCAGGTAGAGAGATTCCATTGGCCTGATAATACACCGTACACAATCAATACACTGTACATAATCAGAACATGCAGCAAGGACACGCAGGGAATGCAGAGGGTTTTTGATCAAGAGAAAACCCTCTGTAGCTGACAGCAACATCTAGCATGGTGAAGCGGAGGAGGATGTATTGAGTGCACACTTACACAGTGGTTCCTCAGTGCCCTCCTTGATTTGTGCGGGGCAGAGACACGAGGACAGGTCAGAGGCCAGCACCTCGGCGGCCGTGGAGCGAGCCAAGGATGCAGCCAGGAGATACGGGGCATTGCTGTGGATTCAGGACAGGTAACAAACCAGCAGCATAATTACCAACAACAACCATAGTAAGGGAATTTCATCATCATCATCATCATTCGCCATCGTCTATTGGCTGCCTGGTGAAGACATGTCCATGCCGTGGCCATTGCTCACAATGCTGTGATGCCACAATGTCACACTCCTGCACGTGGAATTATCTTTCGTCGCTCCATCTCCACGCAGGCGGTGTTTTCTTGGTCACATTCTGTCTCTCAGGCATCTGTAAAGTTATCTATCCAAAAAAATAAAATCATCGCAGTCTCCAGGAATTTGTACTTATGGGAAGGTTTTTAAAAAATAAAAACAATACGTTGAATATGGGGAGGGGGACCAGAGTATATGGAGAAATTCCCATGCATATGAGGCGATAACAGTGAAAGCTCTTTACAGATGAAGGTAGATTCAAGTATCCTTTTCTGTACCACCACATCTGGCCCAAAACTCCTAACATCACATCCTGACTCGACGACTGAAACTGTCTCCTCTGTGGCCCACCCTCAAATTCCTCATCGCCAAACTGAAGATAATCTAAAATTACGCTGCCGGGCATCACGTCCACGCTTGTAAATGTGATCACGTCATCGCAATTGCAGATCTCTCCACTGGCTGCTAACCTGGATCGATTACAAGATCGCAATCCCCATCTTGAAGGTCCTCTATGAACGTACCTACATCTCTCATCTCTCTCAACTCCTCCAACACGTTGTCCCCTACCTCTCTCTCAACTCCCATCTCACTCTACTCTCCTCCAGGCACTCCTGTGCTCCAGCAACCAAGGCTTTCTCTTGGGGTCCCTCGGTAACATTCGCAAAGTAGGGAGTCGCTCATTCTCCTCTGCTGCCCCCATTGCCTGGAACTCTTGCTCCCCTCGCCATCCGTGATATCCACTCCCTTTGGGCTATTTCGAGTCTGGGCATCAGGTCCCGCATTGTTTCATCTACCTATGACTCTTCCGCATTAAAATTAATATGCCCCGTGTTCTGCACAGCGTCTTGATGTGGTTGCATTTAGAAGCCGCAACACGAATCCAAATTGCATTGTAGAACCCTGCAATTAGCAGCAAATATGAAAAAAATTCAATGGAAGGGAGCGTAGGCGGAGAAATCAGCGCCTCGCAGGATGGGCCTAGCGACCCGAGTGATTCCCGTGATGGCTAATGCCACCGGCGAGATATAAGACTCCCTCTTTACTAATTCACGTTGACCAGCTTGGTGAAGTATGGCCAAACAACTCCCATAATCGACATGGCGTGTGGGGTGGCCTTCATCGAAATATAGCTTTTTAAAATTGAATGTAGAAGCATGAAAGTCATAATAACTGTGCGTCTAGCACAGGTATGGGTACATCCGCCGCTGGATGAGGGCATCTTCATGCTCTGTGAATTGTGACCATACCTTTGTATTTGTTTATTATAACCTCAACACGCTGGTCAGTGTTGGATTTCAAAGCAGTGCAGGTGCCGGTTGTGAAGCAGTGTACATATGAAAGTCTGTAACAATTCACTTGCTCCGCTTGCGATTGCATGAACCATGGAGACTCGGGGTATTGGTTTCATTTGAGAATTAGTCATTTTTCATCTCTTTTGTCCAGTTTTGTTTGTACTGTCGGTCTTGCCCCTGCCTCGCTCATCCGATTGGCCTCGAGGTGACGCTTGCATATAATTGTAGTGACACCCAACACGGTTATCTTCATTAATGGCAGTCTTTATTTCTTCCAGCACGAGACACAGCCTTCAAAGATTCACTTCAAGTGTCTCGAGCTTATCGCGTTTCCCCCCTCCTTGTATATCCCTCAAGCCCCTTTCTCGAAGGTTCCTTGACCCACTTCCCCTCCAGCCAATCACCTTCCCACTTTCTCTAACGGATCCCAACCGACCTCCCTGTCAATCATCCTCCGTTTCCCACCCTTTTCATTTTGAATTTCTCCTCCAATCCCCTTCATCCATTTCCCGGCCTCTAACCAATCCCCTTTCAGGCCCGTTAAGTACCAGTCAGAGGGCTTTATTTATTTTATTTTCTACCTACGTGACTTTACCGAAAGAACCAAAGAGTATGGATCCCTGCAGTCACGAAAACTTCAAATCTAGATTTTAGAGGGCTTTGTTTTTACTTCCTGAGGTGGGCATCGTTGGAAAGTAATACCGAATCAGAATCTGTATTCATACCGGAGGAATCCGATAAGCTATAAAGCTCTTTTTCACAGATGTCCAGCAGGGGCGAGTAAGAACGTTACAAGAACAAACAGTACAAAAACACGATACAATCTCTACGTCATGTACAGACACCGTAAACGATGCATTCCCATGCTCACAATCGCAAACGTCGACGTGTTCCATAACATTTGCGAAACAGAAGATTCTACATTTGAAGCTTTCGTGACTGCAATGATTCATATTCTTAGGTTTTTTCGGTAAAGTCACGTAGGTACCACCTGAAGACGGAAGCTTGTGTTGCCTCCGAAACGTCGTGATTTTTATTTTATTTTACTTTTTTATTTTACTTTTTAATGTTTTTACCTACGTGACTTTACCGGAAAAAACCTAAGAATATGAAACAGAAGATTTTACTTCAATTCGTGACCCGAGCAAAACATCATTTTTCTCGTTCACCATGGTGGTGGCCACGTGTTTTAGCAACCACGTCGAGCACGCCCACGCTGCCCAAGCCAATGTTTGCTCGGAAGATGACGAAATGTGACCAATATAACGAGTAAAAATGTGTGTAACACGTTGTTCTGGAGGGTGTTCCTTGCCTATGATGCGCGGGGCAAGCCGGTGACATTTGCTGAAGGGGTCGTGGCACTCGAGGGCGGCCCTAGACGAGCTGCTGCCAGCAACTGGTGCCCTCGGGTCTAAGCGAACAAAGGCAATCGGCACCCCAAAACCCCAAGGGCAGATCTAGGCTGAGGTTTTTGGTAAACTGGGAAATATCGTGCCCCTAGTTTCAATTTAATGTCTTTGTAAGCGTTTTTTTTTAACGGAGGCATAATCATTCGGTTTGTCCGTCCGTCTGTCTGTCCAACCAATACATTCTCATAAATGTTGAGAAATTAATTATTCATATTTCCTCTGTACACGCACGGGAATTGATTGTATTTTTTTAATTTGTATTTCCCCACCACCCCCCCTCGAATTTGGTGCCCCACTTAATTTGACGCCCAAGGCGACTGCCGAGTTGGCCTAAATGGACGGGCCGCCCTTGACCACAATCTGCTAATGAGACAAAAAAAAAGACATGCAAGCAGTCTCGAGGTTATCCCGCTCAACATCAAAGGGACCCTTCAAATGTTCTTTGTGTCTTTCGGTAAAGTCACGTGGATTTTGTTTGAACCTATCTCCGTGACTTTACCGAAAGACCCAAAGAATATGAATTCCTGCAGTCACGAAAGCTTTAAATCAAGGCCCTTGAAATGTTAATCGAACTTGACGTATCGTCGTGAACATCACAGCGGTCTACCACAGTGGACACGACGCATGAGAAGGTTAATCAAGCGCTGCCGAGGAACACTGCACCACAAGTAGCACAGGCTGATATAGACTTATGCACTAGTAACTTAATTTTCGATTTAAAGCTTTCGTGACTGCAGGGTTTCATCTTCTTGGTTCTTTCGGTAAAGGTCTCCCCGACAGACCTGGTCTTCACCTGAGGACGGCTGCTTGCGTTGTGGCCGAAACGTCGTGAGAATTATTTTATTATGTTTTATTTGTATTATTTTATTACTTCCCTTCTACGTGACTTTACCGAAAGAACCAAGAAGATACTAACTTAATGATTTTGCTAGATGAAGGCCTCCCTAACCACCTTGTTGGTCATGGGGGGGGGGGGGGTTGAAAGGGTTCAGGGATGCCCAACAACCAGCCAGTCTCATATCACTCTCCACTCCTGTTAGCCGTGGCCTGGAATCGAACTCAGGTCATCGAGTCTTGATAGTGCAATGTGTCAAACAAGTCACCGCTCCACCCCAATCAGTTTATTTATGAAGTACGCAAAAAACATATAACTGTCGTACACATTTACAATTAGTTGCCATTGTTTTAGTTTAATTATCAAGCGAATTATAACGAACGATATGCAGACACATTGACCCCCTCACACCCCTCTGACCTTCGCATCTGATTGACTCACACAAGTGACGACATCACATCTACCCCCTCCATTTAAGACCGAAACAGGAGGAGGATTTAATTTTTCGATTTAAAGCTTTCGTGACTGCAGGGATTCATCTTCTTGGTTCTTTCGGTAAAGTCACGTAGAATGGAAATAATAAAATAATAAAAATTTAAATTATAAAAATAATACTGACTGTTTTTTATATGCATTCATTAATTCCCCCCCCCCCACTTCTTGCAAGAATTGCTCACAAGTGATGTCATCACATCTACCCTCCATTTAAGACCGAAACAGGAGGAGGATTTCTCCACAACTCTGGCCGTCCGCCTGATGAGGCTGGTTGTAATTACCGGCGAAACGTCGTACTCGGAATTGTAAACGTCGTGGGTTTACTCTCCAAAAACACCGGCGTGCGACATCTATATTTACGCGATCTAACCCAAAAATATATATTATGGATATAACGAAGGATTTAATGTTCGTGCGCGGACAATCCAGAATGTTCCACGAGCCACCAGCTGATGTGCGACGAGTCGCCCCTTTCATTACAGAAAGAATGAACGCCCCACAACCCCCTAATTAATTTGCCACGTCCATGGAAACTGCCCCCGATGTTTCATTCAACGCCTGGGCCTGGTGGGGTTTATTTTAATTATTCCCCTCACATTTCGGTTACCATGGAAGGTGCCGCCCTGAGTAGAGGAGGATGCGTTTGAACAGCCGTCTGTGAATAATCACACACCCCCCCCTCCTCAAAACCCCTTATCATTAACGGATTTTCTGCTCGTACAAGCAGTGCCTCCGCAATGCATTCTAAAGAGAGCCCTGCTGCTTTTAATTACAATTTTTTATGTTGTTGTTG